TAAATTTGCTGACCGCTTTACACGTTTACACGTAATGACCAAATCTAAATCTATAACTACTTTAAAGAAACAGGTTTTAAAATTGTCGGTTCTTTAGAATTTCGAATTATTGTTGTTACAAAACTAAGTAACAGTTCTGAAAAAAAATTTCTGCTAAGAAGGGTTACCCCTTTCCTTTCTTTATTTATCAAATGACGCCAATGTTTGTATCTGGCGTTCATTCACATTCGTAATCAGTTGTCTCTTCCTATTGACGTATAAAATACTACCCCATTGCTCTCCTTTGTAAAGACTTTGAGCTTGGGCAAGCGAAGGGTGAAAGTAAATATGGAATGTCCTGTCTTGATGTCCTGAAGCTTCTTGTGCAATCGACTAAAAAGTCCTTGGCTTTATGTGCCTTTAAAAACCTCAACCTTTTTATGATTGCTGGGTTTTATATCTAGCAAGCATGGGCTTTCGTTCTTCTCTCATTTTTGCTCCTTCACAGAAGTCGTTCGGCAGACAGGCAGCCCTGGTCCTTAGAAGAATTCAGAACGAAGACTTGTGGCGTGAAAACTTGTGGCGAACGAAGTCAAGTCCTGAAAGCAAGGCGTGAAAATAGCGAACAGCTGCATCTAGCGATTGAATCTTCTAAGCCCATTGATATCTGGCAAGCTATACAAATGCATATTTTGCTAACGCCTCCCAACCTTATTATGATGGGAATTTCAGAACGCATAACTGTTGTGGTTTTGTTTTATGTGGGCAATGGTAAAAATATTTGGAAGGTATTGCTAAAGTAAGAAATATTTTGAAGATTCAGAGGATCGAGACTCAAAGTACTGCTTTCAAATCATGTATACTAAGGTTAAGCTGCTTTGAATAGCTGTTATCTAATGTACATAAATATTTTTCTAAGTACTTTTCTAAGTACTAACATGCATCAGTTGCATAAAAGCGTATTTGGCCTATGTAAAGAAAAGTACAAACAACATGTTTATGTTGAAATAATTGCTAAAGTAGCAGAAAACTAGTTTGGCGGGTCAGGGAGGGCTATCGGGTGTAGGGTCTTGTGAGAAGCTGTGAGATCACCGTTGTCCTTTTGTTAGGAGATGTCCGTATTACTGAGATACTTTTACAAGGCTTCGACTGCTGGAAAGAAATTTTTCTCCGTTACTTAAGGGTGTCCGTCAATGGCAGGCGTCCGTTAATTGCAGGTGTCCGTTAATTGGGGACCCACTTTGTCCAGTGGGAAATATTTTGAAAGCATGTGAAAAGTAGATGGAAAGTACGATAAAAGTAGAGGTACGATGATAAAAAATTTTAATAAAAGGAATCGACTTGCAAGCTTTTTCAAACTTCGTGGGAAAACATTTACAAGGACAAAATAGATTCCTTTATCATTGGAAATAGCTTTGAAAAAAGCAAACATTTTACAACATATTAACTAAAAGCTTTTTCGTCTGACACTCCTCAGAGCATAAAACGTCAGAATGAAGGTCCGAAAGAGCACAATGAAAAATATATACCCATTTTTGGTTCGAAATAGGCCAATCAGAAAAACGCAAGCACAAGACCGGTATAGTTGACCAATCAGTGCTGCGTCCTATAGAAAAATTACCACTGGAGTCCAAGAGAGAAAACGAACTCCTTCTGTCTACACAACAACGGCTTTTTCGTTTGTATGTAGATCGATTCCAAAACTGCTAGATGAAAAGACGACCGGGCTCTGCCAATCATCCGAAACATGTCGTCATTATAGAGTTTAGCACAATCCTTTATCATTAATCACTAAAGGGGTATTCAGCCCAATTTTAGCGTAATTGACGTTATGTTTTCCTAGTTGGGTAAATATGGCTTTTTATGAAATGATTTGATATCATCAGGTTAATTTGCCCCGGCAGCAATCACCTGTTGCTTTCTAAGCCTTGACAATCTTCACCCATACCGCACCATCATTGTTAATTGATTATTGTAAGATGCAATTGGTGAACTTGCATTAAAGTTATAGGTAAAAACACCTGATATTAGAGAAAAAGCGGGTTTGCTAAGCAACAAAGTATTTTAGCAGGAGTAGCTCCCAAGGACTGCTTGGCAATTTTTGCAACTTGAATTCAAAATTTCATGAATAGGTTTTGACTATAAATGTGAGTATGAATGGAAAACATTATGTAATCAGTACAAAAGTTAAGATGACCTTCTCGATTGTGGTTCGCTAAAATATCAAGCCAAACTGGCTTAGTTTCGAGGGTCGGCCTATTTTCGCGGCTGATAGGCAAAACATAAAATACTATTCAAAAGACATTATATTCATTTACATTGATGTTTCATACAGGCTAGCAGCCCCTTGAACTCGTTTATTATATCCAGAATACCAGCTTCAGAGTAGATTAGAAATTCTGATCAACTTAGAGTTAAAATCGAGGCGTTGAAATAGAAACTGCTGGGAACGTTAGAAAGAAATAATTAAGAGAAATTAGGAAAAGACCAAAGAAGCACCAGCTAAGGCCATAGAGAACTCCAATTTCTTGAATGTAGAGGGCGAAAGAAAAGATAGTTAAGATGAGCTGGGCATCTTATTAGTTGATGACGAAGGAGAGCAAAAAACGGAAAAAATATATGTATTGGATGTATAAAAAATATCAAGTTAGTTTGCAATTCAATCGGTGCAAAACGAGTTTTTTCTAGCGTTGTCAGCAAGCCTAATTTCGATAGCAAAAAATTTCCTTTTCCAAAGAATTAGGTGGGATTTTTGGTTCCCCCAACTTAACGTACTTTTTCTTCACTTGATTCACTTCATTCAAAACCAACAACTTAACAACCTACTTCCGCTTTCTTGTTTCCTTCGCCTCCTCGATGTTCAGAGCCGAGGAGCAATTCACTCTTGCAAATAGCGTACGAGATTTTCTTTAAAACAAAAGGTTTTTTTGGGGATTATCAGTTAAAACAATTGGATTTTCACGAAAGGTGTACGAGATTTTCTTGGAGTAATTTGCCCCTCGTTCAGAGCAGGCTTCGAAGCTGCAGCTAGGAAATCTACACATCGTCTGTGTTGACCACAACAGGGAGCAATATATGTCACAAATGTTGATTGGGTCATGGCAACCCAACAACGTGCTTTGATTGTAGAATCGCACGTTTTATTAGATTGTTTACAGCAAGTTACTGCGAAGTGTTTTACCCGTGTACAATCAATTATGATGTTCCTAGCCAGATTTCACAAGCAAACAATTTTCGCGCCCCCGTATATCCAATTGCGTCCCCCTGGCCCCCCTGCCACCACGCCACTGTTAACCTTACAACATGATACTCAGCTGATATGCAACTAATCAACTGATATCAATATCAGTTGATTACCTGTATATCAGTTGATTATCATGTTGTAAGGTAAATACGATAAACCTTCATTCATCAAGGTTATCATTTGTAATTCTTAGAATTGATATTTGACTAATCATGTTATGAATTCATCAAGATATCTCTCAAAGTAAAACCATGACTACCGAAAAGGTTCCTTAAAAACTTTCCCCTTAAAATGTATCTCCAAATAAACACTATTGTATTCGTTTTAACTACATGCAAAATCTGTACTGTTATGATGCACTGTTTTATCGAAAACGCGTATTGTCTTATGGTATTTAGTTTCAGGTTCTTTTGAGAGACAGGTTTGACAGACCTGAGCCATCACACTTTCATTGTTATATATGCCGACAAGGAAGAAACCTATTCCGCGTTGCTAACTATTTGTTCTTTTAACACAAAGTTACCTGAGCTTGTGTTTATTGAAGAGAAAAATAGAGAACTGCATAGGCGTAAACTCAGGGGGGGCTCTGTGGCTTCAGCCCCTCCTGACGAAAACCGATGGGGGCTGAGCCCCCCCCCCCGGAAAATAAGGAAGTGCTTTACCAATTTTCTAGATTAGTTTGTTATATTATTGGTTTGACGCATAAGATTTGTTGCATTAGATAATTGCGTTAATGAAAAATGCAAGGCAAAATCACCTTTAAGCCCTTAGCTAATCCACTTTCTATCCTGTGACATCAGCAGCTGCCATTAGGAATTGTCATAAATTTTTTGAGCCACCCCCCCCCCCCCTGAAAAAGATTCAAGTCAACGCCTATGGGAACAGTCTTAGCATTATGTAGTAAGCTTTATTTATTTCCTTCAGAAAAACTTTGCAAAAAGGAAGGGTCTAGTAATATCTATCCAATAAAGAGGCTGCAATAATTTGCATCATTAACACAGATTGAACAAAAAAGAACCTTGAAACTTTGTCTATTGCTGCTTATCTGTTTCTAAAGACATTACATTTCTTCAGAACAAACTTATATTTTTCAAACATATTGTTTCACTTATGAATTTATTTTAGAATTATATATTGGTCCACATGGTACAATACAAAATAGAAATAAGATTTAAACAAAGATGTTCTATTTCTATAAAGAATTTAAAGTAGGACTTTATAATTGAGCCTACTGTTTTCTGCTAGTTGCTCAACGTAGGTTACGGCAATTCTTTCATAGCAGGGATGGTTGGAATATATCGATATTTAATATTTGAATTTGAATTAAAGAAGGATCGAGGACTCAAGAAATCGATATTTTTAAAGACTCATACATCGCATTTTTTTTTAAAAAACTCCTCATTTTGTTAACTAAATTTCCACGGCAACGTAGGACAATGTTTTGTGGCCATTACTGTTTGCACCTCGAAGCAACTTTTGATGTTTCTTTGTTTCTGTTTATTCCAATGACATATCGTTAATCCTTGAATTGCTCCCCCCTCTCCAATAATCCCCCGCTGCTACCGTAAATTCTCGAACTGGACCCCTCCATTTGATGATTTTTGCCACCTGAAGTTGCCTATGGTGTTTTATTGAATTACCACAACTAATTCATGCTTTTGGTAGTAAGCAGTTAAATGCTCATAAAGAAATCTCTACTAAAATAAACGAGGTCTTTTAATAATGTCTTCTTAATGTCTAAAATAATTGTATAAGCCCCTTCCCTCGCATAAGCCCCCTCGAATAAACCCCCATCCAAAAATATCAAAAACAGATAGCCCCCCAGGGGGCTAATTCGAGGATTTACGGTAGTACCATCATGCAATATGTGATCTGATGAAGTCTTCTGTTAACCAGCTTGTTGTATAGTAGAAGATGTCGTATAAACAGAACAGTGTACCCTGTTTCACAAAGAACCTTTGAATAGAAGTAGAAGCTTGGAGTAAAGTAAAGCTTGGAGTAACGACTGCCACCGTACTTTACACACCAAAGCATATGACGAGATTTAGGCATTTAAAGAGCTTGACTTCAACAACAAGAGTATAGTCTGCTAGGTCCTTAACCAACTTGCTTTCTTAATCTGTTTTCTTATCACAGAATACTTTTTCTTGAAAGAATGCCTTATCAAAAGAATCATATTGTTTCAAGTAATTTCAAGTTTATGCGCCTCTTTTAGAGATTATGTTTTCATAGAATGATTAATTGAGGAAATAATAATTGCATAAATGCAGCATTGCGAATATTGATATCAAATATTTGTTATTGATTTTCTGGAAGAGCTTTGCAGAAATAGCATTTTCATGAATCCTTAAACTTTGATCATCAAATTAAAAATTTTCTTTCGAATCTTGTTCCGGAAATATCTTTAGCTAGTTTAATACCAAATTACTTTTTCGATATTTATTATCTATCATTCATCATTTCCTTTGTTTAGACATCAAAACTTGTAAGAATTGGATACATCATCAAACAACACGAGATGAGTCTTAAAACTATTTTTTAGCAGGACTGAATACACAAATTACTGGACTGAAAAGCTTTCCAAGCATTTTCTACTGAGACGGTTTCAAAACCATAAATGCAATAATTAAATGCATAAATGCAAGAGAATTCAAGATTTTAGAATGGCATCCGTAATTGCAAACACTACAGCCTGATTCAAGCTGCGTTTTGTTGAAGCTAATGCATTTTTGGCTTTTAGCTTAGTATTTCTTTTGTTTAATGGTATTGGCGCTAGGTTTGGCAACAAAATCACCCGAGCTTGCATCAAAATTTAGGCATCGATCCTACCAACGATGTAGCACACAGTGTTTAATGGTATTGGCGCTAGGAAGGCAACAAAATCACCCGAGCTTGCATCAAAATTTAGGCATCGATCTTACCAACGATGTGGCTAGACGAACCTGCCAGGCATCTTACGTAAATTAATTCTGTCAAGAAGCAATTCATGAAATTCAGTTTCAAAAGCCTCACTTCTTCACTTTCCCTATTAACCTCATGAGAAATAACGATTCGAACAGAGAGTCGCAAATTCTGATATTGAAAAGAGATTTTATCTTATTTTGAGATTAGTCCAATGAACTTGATATAGGATACTTTGCTGAGGTAAAGTGGATTAAATTTTAGAAACTAATGATTCACCTCGCCATTGGGGGATTTTCGCAAATAAAGACAGCTGCTTTGCACGAATGGTGGCAGGTCTAATCATATAATCACTGCCATTGCTAAGAGCTACTATCGATGTTGCCGCATTTGAGCTCGATTCAAATTCTCAATTCACGTTTGAAGGAGTAACCGTGGTAGAAATATCCTAAATGGTGAGCAGAAATTGCGCTTTGCGATAACTGTTTTAATTAATTCCTTATGATTTCTTCGATGTGGTGAACTTAAACGCATAGACTTGTTGTATTTCAGGTTTGAAGATATGCTTGCACAGGATGGAGAGTGAATTTCTGTGATTTGGCATCGGTAAATGGCAATGATCTCATTTCTACAGATACCACAGCCCCTAGAAATAAACCAACACAAGAGATAAGGAAGCATTTACATACTCTACATCGCTGTTAATATTTTGCCAAGGTTTATTTTCTTTGAAGAAACCAGAAGTTTTTCTCAGAGAAACTGCACTACTGTATGTTGGATCAATCCTTCAAGGAAAGCCACATAAATTCGTGTTGTTTGTTATTGTACAAGGGTTTTGAAAGAGCTTCATATGAACAATTCAGGCGGCATTCTGGTGTATAGAGGAATCGGCGGCCAGCAAGGTAATTACAAACTGAAACTTAACTGTCTAATCTGAAGCAAATTCAATATATTTTCATTCTTATCCGAGGCTTGTTCAAATATTGGAAAACAAGAATCGATTGTTTTTACCAATTCACGTCTATCGTGATCGCAACGTTTCGCCAATACACCCTTATCAAAGGAAAATAAAGATTTCGCTCACTGTCCATATGTTGTTTGGATGAAAGCAGTATCTTTACTGAGAACTGCGGAAACATTTTTAGAAATAATGACACACTGAGTTGTGTTGTATCCAGACGACTCCGTGCAAAATGCCACTAAACCGAGAAGATTTGAGGAAAACAAGGGAGAACTCCCTAAACTCGAGTGCTGTGCTGTATTCTAGACCACGCGAGGTTCGTATTGACTATGCTCCAGTTAAGAAAGAGCGAGATACAAGGAGAGATTCGAGGACTTCGCATGTATCACACGCCAGTTCTATGCTTCAAGGCTACGGTTGTCGCTGTCCTCCCGCATTAAAACATTTTATCAAATATATGTGGATACTTGTGTTGCTAGTCTATATATTCGTGATGCCCTATCTCATATCGATGTTGCACAAGAAAGTGACATACTGTGATGAAAAATTGAAGAGTCTCGAAAAGAAGTGGTCGAAACATTCCCATTCGAAAGCCGTAACTACTAGACAGGCGAAACAGGAGAAAATTCGCGAAACCAAGGAACCGATAACCATGGATCATCACAAATACGCGAAAGCATCGGAAGAAAGAAAGGAATTACGGCATCGCCTTGATTCTCTTTATAAAAGGTAAGTTTTACTTTTACATAATACTCATTTTAATTTTGTTATTGAAAATGGCAAATAAAAGAGAAGCCTGCATCTTAAAATGGTTGGCAAAGATTTTGGCTTCTGCGATATCTCATTTGCTTACAAGATTATTTTTATATGTGGTGCCAAGAGTTGCTTACACGCTCTTTAATTTGAGATGAGATTAATCGAAGATTGATGAATATTCATTAGCAGTCTTTGGCACATTTATCTCTAAGTGCAGTGCTCCCTCAAATCAACATTTAAATCACCTGCACTCTTAGTTTCTGCAATAACTTAATAGCCCTTCAGTAGCCACAAATTGAGGCGTGCACCACTGACATGTTTTAATTAATCTTACTTCTGGTCGTTAGCAATACAGTGTTCTGACACATGGCTTGATTAAAATAGTAACAATCTTTCAAATAAACATTCAAATAAACAATCAAATCTTTCAAATCTTCACCTTAAACAGGTGCATTACTATCGGGCTTTGGTATTAATAAAAAAAATGTTGGACTAACCAAAAGAATGAAATAAAAATTTTCTGACCGACCGAAGTACTGACCGAAGAATAGTATTAAAAATTTCGAAGACTCGCAAAATTTTGGATTTTCCTACCCAAACACCACCTTGAATATGAACACCTTATGCTACAAACAAGCATTTCTCATGATGTCGAGCATATTTCTCTCAGGGCCCGCGCCACCGGGAGAAAAGGGTGGGGGGCGGCGGTGAAGCAAGCAGTTTTAAAGTTGCAGTGAAAGGGGTAAAAAGCCTTGGCCCCCCACTTTCAAGTTCGTGGTGCGGGCCCTGGCTCTATACTTTTTTATAGAGAAAAGTATTTTTAAGTATTTGGATTGGCATGTAAATAGTCATGAAGGGTTTCATTTAAAATTAAGGTGGATCGGTTTTAATAACCTTGCATACCAAGATATCGTGTTGCTCATTAAGAATCTATGATGCATAAGAAATGCATTGCAAACAATTAGAAAATCTTTGTGGTTGGATTTTCATCATTTCTGAAGACGTAAGATTTGCAAAACCTGCACCCACTGACCATCATCGTTAGTATTTCTGAATGCAAATAACGTCTTAATTTAAAGATTATCTCATTAAATGTGTCTTGTGGCCCTCAGTTCTTATTTCTATCTCTTTCAAAAACTGATCTTTTAACGTGCATGGCTCGAATATGTGTTTTTCATGTGCCTGTTACATTGAGAAATTTCACCATAAACTGTCTTGATGACGTAACTGGATCAGGGGTCATTCACTTCTTTTGCAGAGCAATGTAAAAATGTATAGGGATACGATAGCCACAAGGAGGGTCTACGTGATTGGCTACCAACACACAGCTATAAGAAACTTGCATAATTAGCCTAGTTTATCAATGCTTCATCAATACTGGTGTTTGTGTTACCAATATTATTCATATATCTCCTTATAAACTCTCACCATTCATGTAACTTTGGATTAGGCAAGAAACTGTCTATTAGGCAAGAAAGTGTTTAATATGCTATAATTATGAGTAAGGTATTTTCCCCTATAAGAGTGTTTGTAAAAATTGATTTCATGGAGTTTACTTGATAAATACAGTTTTACATATTGTAAAAGTTATTTATTTCAGTTATCGATTGTCAAAGTATTCTTCATGATTTCCGAGGCCAGAAAAGTTGATATCTTTCTCCATAAATCCCTTCAAGCAGTGAATATATTTCTAAAAACAATGAGAACAGGACGGAATTTAGGTGTGGCACTTTGGTTTTTGTGGTCATTGACCTTTTAAAGCTTGTTTACATTATAACAACTAACTTATTTTCTAGACACTGATAATTTCGTTGGTTGACATTGATTAATTCTACGGGATAAATTTGTACCTCCCTTCGCTGAATTAAAACCCAACTTAAACTTACAAGTTTCCTTAGGGTGGAAAGATGTTTTGATACTATACCAGTGCTGCTAGAAGAATATAGTTATTGGGATATCATTGCTTATGACCAATAGGAACAGAAATAATGTTTCCTTTAAAAAAATGATTTTTAAATTGGTTTGTGCCCTAAACAACAATAGTAGCTGCTTTTGTCATTCGCGTTGAATTTTCATCAATCATAGATTTTTCAAATTTTTAAAGATTATAAACCAGTCTTTGTTTTAAAGTAATAAGTTTGTTTACTTTGCTTAATTTTTACAGTTTATCTACTTCCTTATGCCATTATGAACACTATAAATTTTGAAGCGAAACCTGCCGGCCTACGAATATCCCCAAAAAAAACAAACTACCGCAAGAGATAAATACTTTCATATAGCTGAATTTTTATCATTGAACCATGTCGCCGTTTGGATTTTGAAAAATTGATACTAGAATCTTTGTTTGACACATTCTAAACTGCAGGCTAGAAGATATTGCATTGTTTCAAAGCTCTTTATCCTTTTCATCCTTTGTTGCTGACTCGCTCTACTCAGCCTCAATCAAATGTTACATTTGTTTTTCTCAAGTTTAATCAAACTGATTCTCTCGCTAATCCTTATGACACGACCGTTCTACTCAAATTCGGAAATTTTTATTTTAAAAAGCTCATTATGCGCTTCTTTTTGATGAAATTTCTTCCATTTACTCCAATAGAAATTTTTCAATCCAAAATCAAAGCTGTAATTTTCTTATCTTAATTCCAGGGAATGCAGATGAATCGCCCATTTGTTATTAAAAATTATTCCTAGCTAAAAGTAAGGGTAGCGTTTTAGATTATCAAAAGAATGGCTGATTTATGCTCAATTTTGTAAATCCAATGCAATAAGACATTAGGTGATTTGAACGAGATCGGGTGTAAAAATGATAGCTAAATCAACATTTTCAAAGGAAACGATTCTAGTTTCAGTCAATCTTATGGTTTTTCTACTTAAACAATTGGCTGTGAAGTTAGAATATTGATGACTGACGTAAATTGACTGCAATAATGATTTCTATTGATGTCATTCGTTGCTAGAAAGAGTTGACGATTTTTGGTTCTATGTTTACAGAACAGCCTAAAGCCCAGTTTCCACTTGAACGAAAGCGGTCGAATCGATCGATCAGCTACATACAGAGGGCAAATCATTCCAAAAAAACTCGTAAAACTTTGATTGAAATATATTTGTCTTACAACAAAATATCTGGGAATCCTTTTGTTTACGTGGAAATCTCATACGCTATTTTTTGCAAAGTGAATTGCCTCTAGGTTAGATACAGTAAGCTTAGAGATATTTTACAAGAGTGTAGAGAGTTTCTCCTCCTTGCATTTAGCAAAAGTTTGGGAGCCTTCGTAAAAACTGTAAAAAAGCGATAGCTGTAATTCTTTTGATGCGATAGCTGGATATATTTTTTAATGATATTTCTTATTATATCCAGAAGGTACAGTACTTTTTTTCATAATTTTGTATTTCACTGTATTCAACGAATTGCACCCTCTCGAGGTTACTATTGCACTCAATCGAGGTTGCCATGATATATTTTAACATTAGCATTATGATTACAACACAAATTGTTGGCTGTTTGCCCTTGGCAATTCCCTTTTAGAAGTAAGTGAGGTACAAGTGAATCTTCGCAACATAATTGCAGAAATCTAGGAAACGCCAGATTCTGCTGTTATTATGAATTCAATGAACCGCGCTAGTTTTATTTTATTTTTTTAAAGAAGGCGGCAAGCAAGAGAGGGCCTATTCTTTGACTCGAGAATTAATCATTTCCGAATTACATTGAAATTACTATGGATAAAAAAGATAAGCCCATGATTCGCTGCTACGATGTTGAATTTATTTAACATATACACAACCTACGCAGTTAATTTCATATTTGCGTAGCATATCTTAGACTTTATCCTTTTAGATAACACTTCATACTCGGTTTGCTGTTGTCACGCGGGGCATTTATTCTTATTAGCCAAACGATGCGAACAAGCGTTGCATTGTACAAATGCATTAACTAACGAATGCCTATCGCTTTTCCAAGCCGAACCCCAGATGTTATCTTCAGTCGATATCTTTGTATACCACTGATCTGAAGGCTTGCTTTTTTAAGAAATGGGGTTAGAGTGGATAATAATCAAGTCAACGTCGCCATAAGATACCTCAACAGCTAAATCCTGTATTAAGTGTTATACCCTGAACTAAGCTTGAAGGACATAATAAATTCAAAGTAAACATATGCTGTGAATACAACGAAAATGACGTCATCAGACAGGATATAATGAAGTGTTATCCATAAACTGTGAATCTTTGAGATAAAAATAATTTTGACAACTAAGCAGTCATTTCAGAAGTGAGTCGCTTTCATTACCGCAATGCATATTGAGCGGTATTAATTTCTGATTGGGTCTCTTTAATAGAAACTAAAAACTGATTATATAATTTTGATACAGTCGTGATTGGTGTCGACTAATAAATAGAGAGTGACCCTTATTTCATGTACATTACTCTGTAACGAATAAAAAAGTTTGAATCAGATCAGCTAGATGAATTTAAATTTCATTTATTGCTTAGAAATACCACTAGTAAATCAAATAGATTCTATCATAAGGAATTTTCGGTTTTGAGATTTTGCTCCCCTCCCTCCAAAGATCAATGTTGAATTATTTGCTTTTAAACTTAAATCATAGCAAGTTTGATCACTGTGCCAAAAAGTTTAAGGAAATTGAAAATATAGTAGGGAGGAAACATTCTAATTTTATGAGGGCACGACTTTTGCAAGGTACTTAGGTAGGTTGACGTAGGATTCGCATGAAGGAAGGCATCACCATCAAGACTAAGCTCGTGAAGAAAGATATGGAAACTTTTTTGTCTTAGTCATGTTTATCTTCCATTGAGAATAGTCTCTATTTAATTTAAAGGAGTATTCACTTTGAAAAATTCATCACACAAGATATGCGCAATAGATAAATATATCTATATAGAAAAACTCCTAGAATCTTTACAATAAAGACTATTTTGGTTCAACGAAGAGAGAAGTCTCATTGTATGAAATAATACGGATAATCTCATTGGAATTTGGCTTTGCAAGTAATCGTTTTATGGGAAGCCGGTTTTAAAAATTCCGCTTGGCGAGGAAATAAACCTATCCATGCGCTTGAGCTAGTGTTATCATATATCAACCATATCAAGAGATATCGCCATATTTTCCTCCAAGCGCCCGGCATTTGTATAAATACTTTCACATAGTAATGCACATCTGTTTTATTGTTCAATCAATATCTTAGTTGTTTATTGTTTATTATGAACGCTGATTGGCCAATCAAATGTCACCCTCGCATTATTATTGGTATATCTTAATCCGCAGCGGGGTGGTATGCTTTGGGAAAATCACCTTTCTGTTTGTGCCATTTCGACTAAAAGTAGCTTTGGCATACATGCTCTATCTTGATTATGCAATGCGTTAGAAATTTTCCTTCATTTGGCTCTTATTTTTAAACAGCTTCGAAAATTTCAAAAAACATACTACTATCATGGCGTTACAATGGTCGTGTAACCCTCGTTAAAGAAATTAGTCGGCTCTTTGAAAAATTTTTGGTCAAGCACATGTAGATATTTGGTCTTTTGTTTTTAGATAAAATAAGTACAATAACAGTTTTATTTTGTCTTTTTAGGGTGAATAGTCTTTCTGATTTTGAGAAGAAGATCTGCAATGCTACAGTCAACAGTCAGCTGTTCAAAAATATTTGTAAGTTTCTTATGTTTTTAAAACTTTCTCTTATTTTAAGGGTGTTTTTCGCTTCTGTCATATACAATATATTCTCTATCCTATCAGAAAGCTTAGAGTTTTGAAAAAGTCTCGAGCATCTAATTATGAAAAATATACTGAAAAATACATTTTTTCCATAGCAGGCATTCCCATCAGAGGTTGAAGGCGCTTGAGCAACCGGCATGCATTGCGGTAGCTGTTTTCTTAAACGAGAAGAAATGGGCTGTATTTTGTATTTCGATGCAGTTCGATGTTAAGCCAGTTTTGAAAAGATAATTGCAAAACATGCCTGTTGCGCAAGAGCCTTCAAATCACAAATCACACATTGTTTCTTCTTTCATCATCCACACGAAACAACTTTTTTCCTTTGTGGTTCGAGTTTCTGAAAATTCAAGTTCAGAGCAAAAACGAGATATTTTCTTTAGTTACTGTAGCCAACTTATATCTAAAACTGATATTCTTGTTCTGGTAAACTCGCCAGTCCACCCTGCATGCCACAAACAATGTTTCGTTATAAATAGGCCCTGTTTTCTTTTGGCTAAAAAACCATTACTTAAATCATCTTTTAGCCTTCTGTTTAGCTTGAGACAAACGACATTAACAAAAGCGCCTTTTGGAAAAGTTAGGATTTTTGCTGTTGACAAAGAAAATATTTGAAAAAGATTAGGCAAACGAAAACAAAATGTGGATGTCTGAACTTATTTTTGAAGCGCTCTCATCTTTTACAAAAAACTATTTATGTAGGTACTTAAACAGAGTAATTAAATAGTCAAGTTATTTTTTGATAGTTGTTTTTATATTTTGTTTGTACAATGTGTTTGTATTTTGTTTGTACAAGTTTTTGCACAATTTGTTCCTTTGTCTTTTTTTCATAAATATCGTTAAAAAGCCAACTGGCTTGCAACATTACTTAAATGGAAGCTTTTGGTTAGCTAATCTATGGGTTTTCATGTTTAAAACCTGGAGCTTTAAGGAAAATTCTATAGAAAATTCATCGGCAATGACGTAACAAAAATTTGGTAGCAGTTCGAGATAGAAATAACTAATTAGGAGTTAGACTGTTCTAAGAAAGTCTTTTGACCTAGGGGGAGAAAGGTAACAGAAACAGAATTAGAAAATGGAATGCATAAACTTATGTTTACAGTTCGAAAGATTATCAGATGTTTTCTTAAATGTTATTTGGAAAAAATGCGTCATTCTTTGTCTTGCTCCTTAATTTATACTGCAAATTACTTATATAATGAGTTAAGAAAACTGTTTTTCTCATCTAAATTTATACTGATTTCAGAAAGTGAATATTTGCTACGAAAGAGAGTAGCTTATTCAAATTAACTCAATTTGTGCATAAAAGCGCATATATCAAGTTAGTAATTTAATGAGGTTCCCATGAACTCAATGATTATGACAAACTCTCAAAACTTTGTCTGCTTTTTGGTTTCATGGAATGAACTGACTTAAGATTAAGTTTTTAAAAGAGATTAAACAATATGACAATATTATGATTAACTTTGGACCATATGATGGTAAGACGACAGGAATTTTTAGAAATCTCAAGAAGAAATCTAATCAACAACAAGTAGTTTTGTTAAAAATCAACTTTAATCTCTCTCTTCAATATTGAAAATATTTGATTTTTCTATTTAGCTTACAACTTGAGTTGCCCTGTTGGACCAACTGGACCACCAGGAGCTCCAGGCAGGCCTGGTTCGTCAGGAAAAGACGGGATTGTGAGTGTTTATTTGTTCAATATACCATTTAAATTGTTCAGTCGCCATTGAACCATACAGTAATGACTCACAGGATTGAATGCTATGCTATTTGTGCCTCTGAAAGCAAACTTTGAAAATAAGAGACTTCCCCTAAAGGATTCTATTGGTATCACAATGCTTTGAATGCACGTTATAGTGTATCCTTTATAAGACATCTTTGATGGATATGGGATGATTCAGGTACTTGCTCTACGAAGACTCCTAAGAATACTTTTAGAAATATTCTTTAAATACCCAAACAAAATAATTCATTTGGAACTGGATGCGAAAGAAACTGATCGAGAGCCAATGTCTTGCTTTTAGCAACGCTTGACATATGTTTAATGATCTGTTATTTAGCTTGTATGGGACGAATGAACGCTTTTAGCCTAGCAGACGCGAAACCGTTTTCATCAATGAATCTAGATAGAATAACTTTGAAATAACTTAAAGTTGTATGAGGAAAATTAGCGAATATAATCATTCAAATCCAAATTTAAATTCGCTTATGTTTCTCGTACAATTTCAAGTTATTACAAAGTTCTATTGTCACATTACTTGGTACGACACACAAGCTAGTATATCTATGGAACCTAGATAGACTTCTTCGAATGTTGTCATTTTTGTCGAGGATATTAAGCCAGCAATGATACAACTATAGGCAGACAAACATTATGAAAATTTCCTTTTATACATAACTCTTTTATTTACCTCGTAGCCTGGTCTTCAAGGACGACCAGGAGAAAAAGGAATAAGGGGAAACAGGGGACCAAGAGGTCAACGAGGACAGCCAGGTGAGATACATTATTGACTTCTTTTGAAAAGCTTTTGCACCTGAACGAGATTCATTTACGAAACAAATTCCGTCAGATTCAGCTTTGAAGGCAGCATTACTTGCAATGGCCTAGCATTTGACCAGAAACGTATTATCGCTAATCTTGTTTTTAAAGATCTGAGAGAAAATGAATTTCAGAACTGAAGCAAAAGCTAAGCTTACTATTTCTGGAACTGAAGCGAACGCTAACAATATCTTTGTTGTATTTATATCCAAGGGATAATGGGGCTTTCTAGCCCCATTATATTAAAAGCACCACAAACCATAGAAACATGATCTCTATCTTGTATAGTGAAGGATAAATGTCAATACATTTTACATTAAAACACATTAAAAGTGTAGTTCAATGATAACCCAGAAATAAGTTCAGCATGTTGTAAGCAACAAATCTTTTTTTAATAACTTAGGAACATGTTTCTTGACTTTCTGTCTTTCAGGGGTCATTCATAAGTAGCTGAAGTTGTTTACTTTTTGTAACGGTAATCCCAAGCCCCTCGAAGAGGTGCCCCTATCCTCAATTGTGAATCTGTTCCTTGTTTATAGAAATGATCTTGATGAGAAAGGTTATGATTTACTTTTTGATAAAGCTTAGATGGAACCTCTTTTATAGCAACACATTAACTTGCACGCGATCTTAATAATAATTTAAAGCACATTTAAAAACATTTACAACGAGCACGATTTCTAACCGGGTGGTCGTGTTTTCCCATGAATGGGAGGGTAAGCGCCTCGGGTACCTCTCTAGCTCACACGTGTCTTTAACCAATGGAAATTTTTCTCGTTATTATATCTATATAGTTCTCCAGCTACTGTTTATTTATTTACTGCCAAAAAACCTTTTTATTATCCATTTGCAATCCATTGTGCACCGAGACAATGAGGTTAATTTCTTTCGTAGGAATAAATGGAACTTGTGACTGTAAGACAGAAAGAGCTCTCAGCCAAAGAAGTGCTGTTTATACTCGTTGGGGAAGACAAGATTGCAATGGTTCAAATCTTGTTTATAAAGGTATGTGTTGCTTGATTGACATGGCCTTTTTCAATGCTGTGTTTCAGAGATTTTCTAAAGCTTCACCGATTGCCAACAAACATTTCAGAAAACTCCACTGATTTCCTGTGTCTAGAAATCACCTTTTTCTGATCTTTACAAAGTATTCTTTTTATCTGATTTTAATCTCTTTTTGAAGAATGTTTTAGCATGTTCTTGTAGAAGTGTATCTTGCTAGAGACAGATTTTGCTTTGCTGCGAAATTACCCATTGCGCATAGTTAACCAAATTTATGCTAAAAACTTGGTATCTGGCGATGGAAACGCAATACGCAAACTTTAAATTTCATTTATTCAAGCAGTCATGTCTTTGTGAGCCTTTTCTTGCCATAAAGCCAAGAAGTGTTCAGCAATAATGATGATGCGAATTTCTGTTGAAGGCTACATTGGCGGACCACATCATAACGATGAAGGTGGAGGTTCTAATTACCTGTGTGTACATGAAGCACTAGATCCATATTCACGAAAAACTACTTCGCAAGAAGACAGAGCATTCCTTTATCATGTCGAATATGAAACACATGCAGGTATTTTTAAGATGAATTACAATAAAACGGGTAGGAATTATTTCGATGCCGTTTGCTCCGTTTGCAATATCAAGGGCCGCGACACCGTGCTCATGATCCCAGGTCGACACTCGTGCCCAGCTGGTTGGACCAAGGACTATGCAGGCTTTCTTATGGCTCCAAAAAAGGGGCTTTTCAGAGCAGAATATATTTGCGTTGACGAGCGTCCAACAATCATGCCTGACCGATTGTCTAGAAATGGCGGAATGTTAAATTTTGTGGATACGAGCTGCTCAGCACTGCCTTGTTCACACTCGCGGTCTTCAAAGAGTTTCAGGAAGGATTTTGAGGTTACCTGTGTAGTTTGCAGTATTTAGGGAATTTATTTATTGTTTTGAATTAAGATAAATCTAGATGCGAACTAACATAAAAGTTATCAGCTTGCTGCTATAAATGTGGTTACAGACCAAAAGAAAACATGGGTATTGAAGGCACGATGGAACCTGTCACGGTTCTTATGTATTTGGAAAAAGTGGTGAACCCTTTCTGGTGGCTGTTTTCCCAGAGAAGGCAATCTACCTTCATTCTCAAGAAACTATCGACTGGCAGCCGAGAAATGACCAAAAACAATGTAACAATAGAGTACCATTGGGCATTTTACATCGTTGTATAAATACATTTAATTTAACAGAACCTTACTATTTGTATCATAGAGAATTGAATGGCTAGATGATATTGTTTAGTTTCATCAAGAATAATCTTCGGTACCGTTTTGACATGTAATCAACGTAAATTGCTGGGTAGGAAGAGGTCAAAATATCCGCATTGCCCTTTTTCTCTTTCACATTAACTTGGTAAGTTATTGGGTAGACCAATTCTTGATTAAAAAAGGTTTTCTTTGAGCATAAAACACAAAAAACAACACTGTAAACATATCTTCTCAATGATACATGAATTGTAGATAGGGTAAACGTTAAACAAGAATCATATTCAACGGTTGCTACACTGATTTATAAAATTCGAATATGCAGCCTCCTTCTGGTTCAGACTGATGTGAAGCCAGAGGCGATGAAAAAGTCCATGGCTTAAGATAGTCAAAAAACTTGTTTATTAGTAGGAGGCTTTAGAGAGGGTGTATGTCAATGCTCTCAGGTGCCGCTTACCTGCCCATGCTTCCTGTCACCGCATTGAAATGCCGAATGTGTATATCAATGATACAGTTACCTAAATGCTAGATCGAGCATGAAAAATGGTTATTCTACTTCATTGTTAGAAATAGCGTATCATTTTCAGGTGATGAATATAAATATCTCTTGCTTATTTAAATTAATCGGCCATTCGAATGTATTTTGTTAAATTCTCTGTCTTGAAAAAGATTTATTTACATGTGAATGAAAAAAAGAGACATAAGAAGTGTTTGTTTTTCATTTCATTTTTGGGCTTACTTGAACTGGTGGTTTATGCAAATATGTACGCTATTTAAACAGAACTCGCGCAGAGACATCCAAACATACACAAACCTGCTCGTATATCTGCATCAAATCTGATTCCTGTAACACTGATTTAATCTGAAATGTGAAAGATAGTGAACAAACGTTTTGCGATATTTTTCTAGAAGTTAGAGTAGCTGCAGACGTGTTCAGCAGAAATGATTATTTTTATTGATCAAATCAGTTTTGTTCAAAATTGATAACATTCAACGATGATTTGTGGTATCCACGCAAATTTGAAAGATTAAGATAAAGACTCTGAACCGTTGAGGCATTTCGAGTATGATTTTTTTGGCATATGGTCTACGAAAATGAATGTTTGTACAACAAAGTATTTACCTAATTGGGAAAAAGAAAGAGATGTGAAATATAGAAAATAAAGCAAAATTTTGAAGCCATATAGACTTATGAGTAATAAAGAAATGAGATAAGATATTGAAGAAAACCTAGACCACGTAGAACTTTTTATTTTAACTACAATTACGCATAATAGAATTATATGTCAATCAAAGTTTGGACATCAAGTTCTAATATGACCGATTGACTTGGAAAGAAACTGTACTGTAGATTTTTGCAGTTTGAAGAAAGTTAACGAGATCATTACTTTCAGAATGTAATGTGGCATCGTTCAATTGTGTGATCATATTTTGCGAGAATTTTTAGTATTAACACAAGGAAAAATATGTTAAAGAAATCATCAAAATGTAGTGCGATGAATGCTACTGATTTTACTAATAACAATTCAGTAATGATTCTATGTTTAATATGAATTATTAAAGGTATTAATATTATAATATTAAGTTCCAAAAGTCCAGTACGGACTTTTGAAAGCCTAAGAAGATTAAAAATTTAAATACTCAAGATTTGACGGAAAAACTGCGCGTGCAAAAGCGGAATATTTAGTTTTGTGACTATCATGCGCAGCAAAGTAAATTCCTTCCGTTTAAAGAAGTGTCTCTACAGAAATTGTCTCTTTAGAAAGATTTCACTTCAGAAGATATACCATCTATACTGTGATAAGTTTTTTACTTAGAACTTCAAAATATGGCATATTTATATCATCGCACCTTCTTCGTTACTGTGCCAAGTATTATCAATATTTTAATTTTTAGCTAAGTAAGCCTTAAAGACTCATTGCTAACAATGAGCCATTGCGCCACGAAAGCATCCCATAATGCATTTTCAGACTGTCTGAAACCAATTTTGGCTAATCCGTAGAAGTTTACTGCCATTGTTTGGACCGTCGCAAAGGAACATTGTTAGCAATGAGTCTTTAAGAAAGTTTTATTACTGACACTGGAAAATAGCTAAGAAAGTTTGAGTGTTGGGCAGACAAAAACCATTTCGATAAAGAAGGTGTAAGATAATGAAGAAGTGGATGAGTAAATCATTGAGCATAGAATGTACTCTAAAGATATATAAGGAAAGTGATAAACCTTTCTGGTATCATTATATCAGTCAAAACCTCGACTAAATAATTAAATCTGCAAAATTGATTTCCAGACAAATTGATCTATAGTTTTCTGTTCAACAACGGTTTGATCTTTGTCTTATAAACTGGCACAAAGTTATGCCTTTGGATAATAGGGTTTTATGTCTACTGTGGGATTCGGTTTAGATGATTAGATGACTACTTATCCGCCCTTAAATTTTTCTTGTTTGCTACACAAATCACTAGGCACGTGACTCGTAACCCTCATCGGTTTCTTTGTTGTTTTTGAAGCCTGAGTCAACAATAGAATTTCTTAACTCTTCTTAAACCTCGATTTCATCAGAAAAACTTAGCCTTGACAAATTATCGTTCATTCATCAGAATATAAACGAATTATGATACATAATTGAATTTGTTCACTAACATGGGGCATTTCGTCTCAATAAAGTTGTCTACTTTCATTCTTTTTTTTAAATTTCCCCGACAGATACATGCTAAGCCTCGAATAAGTTGACGTATGCGCTAGTTTTCACCTGACGCAGTCTTCACCTGATGAGCAGGAGTTTCCCTTTTACCTAAGTCCTATTGTGTGCTTGTACTATATCACGAAATACGATGGTCTACATTCAGAATCCTATGCTTGAGACTCGAATTTTTCATGCAACCATTTCTACAGCCAGTAGAGCCTCGGGCATATAGTCATGCATGAAGTGGGGTCTTATCGAAGACCTCACGCTACTTATCCAATTTGTTGTTATTTTGATCATGTGATCTTGTTAAGTGGGCTGGGTCACATATTGTAAACAAGGCATAGTTTTGGCAAATTGTTTATACAACCAGAAACCAAAAAATGTTGTGTAGTAAACATTTGCAGTCAACAATATATGCCATGTTTCAAGTTAAATTTCAACTGCTTCAGTTAACTCTAAGAAATTACCAGCCTCGAATTTTATGACATCTGTTCAGGAATCAGTAACTAAAAAGCCCATGAAGTAGGCTTCCGTTCTTGCTGACTGACTCCTGACGATATGAATTAAGCTACCTTCTGGTTTTGAACCACACTGCTTGTAAAATTTCATGCATGTTGACCCTTTTCTGTCTTCATACTATGCGGAAAAATGTATTCTTTTTGTTTTCTTTTTCTATTACTTTCCGGAAAAACCTCTTCTCTGTTCTCGCACAACTCACTTAACAAATAAACGAACGTCTTGACGACAAGAAAAGTTTGCCACCATTCAAAAAACATCATTTTTGTTAAAGAATGACTTTATGGCAACAAAATATTATTTGCCCTAGGCAACATATTTTTCCTTCTCTTGCCAAATATTTAAATGAAATGTTATATAAATACAATTTTTCGAAAATGCTTTGCAGTAGCAAAAGTAACCAGAGTATTTTTAAATTCCGACACCGAACAAAGAAAAACATGCAAATCAAGAAAATTATGCTTTTTTCATTTTATTTTAAATTCTCATACAACAAAAGCTCATAAGACTCGTTAAATTTCTTTAATTCTTAGTTTTCTTCTATGGAGTTTATTTCATAGATCATGCAATTATGAAAGTGGATGAGCGAACCTAGGATAGTAATCAATTTTGCAGGGGCTTTTCAGTGATATTTAGCAAGCACTTGATGTTCGGAATCGTGATATCTTGATATTGTAAGCGTAAAGTAAGATGAAGGTCACTCCCTTCAGTAATTGAAATCCTACTTTCAGAATAGAGTAAGCATTTTCAAAAACTGATGCTAATCTGATACTTGAAACCTGCTAGCGGTGTTTCTCAATGATTCATATGGCATGTCACTTGTAATTCTTACATCAAGACCTATTACTCCACAGAATAGCTCTTCATTATCTTTTCAAAATCTACGTGAAATGATTTCTATTTCTGAGTCTATATAATAGAAAAACGCTATTTCTGTATCGCTAGAAACACTCTACTTCTGTGAGTAAAAAGCTGTTATCAACCGAAGTTTCGCTATCTGTTGAAAATATTGCATTATCTCCTGGTTGCCTTGTCTTCTGAACGCCGACCATAACAAACTTTGTAGCGCTGATACATTATTCACCAAACAAGTTGAGCACATGAGGTTATAAGAATCAAAAATTTTTTGTGATCATTTGACTTCTGAAAGCCGATCAAACACCGAAAAACTACAAAAAATAATTGTTTTCATCATAGATATTATAAAAATACTCTCCAGTTCAAGAATCATTCATGAAAAATGGAGATAGAAAATAGTTTTCATTGCACTTAAAGTATCAAATGGAATACGTCTTGCATCATATCTAAAGCTTCACAAAGACAATAGGGCGCTATTGATAAAGACTTCCTTCACAACATATAAAGAAATAGCTCAAAGTTTATTCATCTTAAAGAAGGAGAAACTTAACTTTTATCATTGAAGAACTGTTGAAAGAGAATGATTAACCAAGTTTCTAATTATTATACCAATGATCTTTCATGAAACATAGTCTGCAAAAAGAGCGTCTTTCAAACTGTAGAATTTTAATTAACACTACAACATAGTCTTTGTTTATTATTTTATTTTCGTGTGTAGTTATATGATTTTGATATGATGAATTATTTGCAAGAAATTTGTATCAAAAATCTAAAATCATGAAATTTTGACAGGGGTGCTACATTCAACTGCACCAATCTTACTGTAACTGTTTCCAACCACTTTTATTACTCGCAAAAATCCGTAAAATTTTCCTGAAGCTCACGCTTGGTTTTTAACAAAGCAACTTTTACTTCATGCTCTTAAAAAGACAAGCAACAGGAGAGTTTAATTGTTGCCATTCCAATTTTCGCAGGAATGAAATAAACTTGAGGTAAAAACGATTTATCCAGCTTAAGAAGAATCACAAAAATGACAACTAATAAATTAGAATGATATATGCAAGGTAGAAATAGATTGAATTCCTCAGCAAAAACATTATTCCCAAAAAGTTCTTATTTTTATCGCTGAAGTTAGAGGAAAGCGCGATAAGATGTTGGTAGGATATTTTTTAATCCAATAAAGAAGAAAATGTGCTGAACTCATTACATTTCTTCAAAAAAATATTCATGTTCAAAAGGGGCTTTGTTTCTGAATGATTGAATTTTATGATAAACTTAATTTCATGTCAGTTCTTCTTGTCTACCCATGTTTATGCATGAATGTGAATCAGAAGCAAAGAAATGTATTGCCAACATCTATTAATAATATAATTTTGCCGGTTTCTTTTCCTTGAAGGTTTTTGTCAGTTATTGTATTTTGTCTAGAACTACCGAAAGATCGAAAGCTCAAAGCTGTTCTTTTCATAACACGCATTAGGCCAGCAAAAGATGGCGGAACGCTGTAAGACGATTTACACCTTGCTTTCTTTTGAAACTCAAATCAAAGCTTTCCGATTGTGTCTTTATCAATTTGTTTGTTCGTATTGTACAGGATTTTGGTTAAAACCGAATAGTATCAGACATTTTATTATCGCTTTTCCTTTTCATCGTGCGCTTAGGGACTTAATAAACATTTTACATTATCAAGGCTGCTCAAAAGTCTTATTAGCATAAGGAGTCGCAATTATAATAGAAAATACAATTATACACTCCGCAGTAAACAGGGAGATGAGAAAATCCCGATTGCAATAGATACAGAAAAGCTTCCTTGTCCTCCGAATAAAGCCTTATTGCAGCCGATGTTTTTCAACTTAAATCTTTCTTGGCTAGGCAATGAAATTAAAGTATACACCCTATGATTAAGACCAGCTGATTTGCCTTCCGCAAAGCTGGAAAGCATGTTTTTCTCAAGGCAGCTAAGCAAGGATATTGGTTTAATGTTGATAAGAACATTCGGTAGAACCAAATGCAAGAGGCCTAGTCAAAATAATTAAGTTCAAAATAACTTAATGTCAACCTTGTCTTTTGTGTTCAGTTAAGAATATCCAGATTCAACGTAAAGATGACTCAACAGCTACCGATGAATCCAGAATTTACAATGTACAGTGGACAATGTTTTACATCGCATTGCCTTCCAGAGCATATAGCTCGGATAATTTACTATGCCAAGCAAACCAACAGTTTTTCATTCAGCATAACTACAGCTTATCAAGGTGGCAAGATACGAATATTTCTAGAATCTAATCTTTCGAATACTGCTAATTGATATTTACGGGTCTGAAAACCTCTTACTGAATGCTAAAAAAATATAACGAAAAATGTTCTCAAGTTCTTGTCTTGCTCTTCCTTTTCGACAAAATTATTCAACTTTCCAAAATAGGCAGATAGAGTTTCTTATGGTAAGTTATTCTTTTTCTGAAGTGTTCCATAGCCTGCTGAACAGAATTTTAGTAAAAAAGCCGAAGAATCGAGCAGTGAGCTGGTCCATCCTCTCTATCAGACCACACGTATTAATAGCTAGCGATTCCTTTCACTCTGGGTAAAAATTTCATCATATCTCGAACCATCGGACTCGAACCCTGGACCCTTGAATCTGTTGTCTGCAATCCTAATCATTGAGCCACCCTCGCATATGCCCTGTATAATTTGTTGCACTAGAGGGCTAGAGAGACAAAGAGTTACCTTGAGTTTTTTAAAAATATAAATTTGAAAGCTTACTTCACTCTTGATAAGTATTTTCTTGCTCTTTTTGGTGGTTTTTTCAGCAACAAATAACCCCGCTTTGGTGGAGGTGCTGCAATGGTGACACCAGTTGCTGCAAATTGGAAGAAAAGGTTGATAGGCGTGTCCTAATGAAATTCTATACTATGCCCTTATTTTAATACAAATACAACCACTTTTAAAATCATTTTGATAATGCCAATGCTTGGCACTGCCTCTTGTGATGTATTTAGTGGAGGACAACAAGGCTTGTATGAGCCTCACCTTTTGATCAGAATAGAAGATTCCCAATAACGTCTCTAATTGCTTTATTGCAATCTTCCAACAACAACAAATTCCAAGGCATCAAGAAAAGTGTGAAGTAATCATATAAAGCATGTAACAGGCACTGGGAGGGTTTAAGATGTTTGAACCCCACGCTCAATGATTGGACCTCCAACTACAGCACTGCCGCTGAGAGAATTTCATTTGAAAGCTCTAAACAGGGCTCTTTCAAAATGTCTTCAGTTTGTTGTAGCATTTATAAATTTGTTGTAATTTTCTGAATTAGAATGTCTAATGTTGGGCAGTAAATGTTAAACAAACTGAAAAAATGGACAATAACAAAGAGTTTACTCCACTATGAAAAGTCTTTGAATCACCGAAGGCGGGAAGTAATTGGGTGAGAATGAGGCCTCTCTTATACGAGGCAGCAAACCGCGCCATTTTGCACCATCTTATTCGGCCTAGGGAAACGTGATTCTTGTTCCACTAGAATATTTCACGAAATATTAACACAATGGGCGACGCAATAGAATATAATGATGTCTATATGGTGTTAAGAGGGGCTTTGGTAAGTAAGCGTTGTTACGATACCTTCTACTGATGTTGTTTTTAGGCCTTTGCGAAACAGTTTAGAGCATTTCACTTTTTGACGTCGCAAACATTGTAAATTGAATTGGATAAATCTAATAATTACTGTAAATGAAATTATACGTATCTCAAATAATGAAATGTTTATGCTTGTGAAGTACCTAATCTTACATATATAGATTTAATGCGCTGAAGATAATAGATTTCACTGAAATCGCGCTGCATGCTCCGGATATAAATTTTCATGCCCAGGGTGGATGATATGCATTTTAAGAAACTGCACAAAATTTTGTATGCTTTACTGCTTCAGATGCACTGATTGTCCATCTCAGGTGTACTGATTGTTCATTTCAGGTCCAAATTCCTCTTGTGTAGAGCAAGTATTTGGGAAATTAAAGTATATTGACTCTGAAAAACTCAGTGGAAAACACCTGAATTGGTTCGCAGTTTTTTCTGTGTGATGTGTTTGATAATCTGAACACAGGTGTTATATTGGAAAACATCCAGTATGAATTCTGAGATTTGTGCTTCCCTTAGATTCTAGCCAAAATTTATCCAGAAAAAGATGGCTTGCCAAGACAGGTGATCTCACCTAAAATTTTTAAACCAATTCACTTATTCAAAGGTTTCTTAAACATTCGCAGATCTGGCCCAAAATGGGTCTTGAATGCAGACTAGAAAGGACAGAAATAATTTTGGTTACATTTACGTGTGAGTAGCTCTATTTATTGAAGTTGGAATGAGTTTGGTATGAATGGCATACAGGCATTGTTGTTTTTATCTGTACAATGCAAAAACTTTTTGAAGCTGTCAGTATGCTTTTGAAATTTATAGAAAGCTAAAAAGAAGACACAAGATGCATTTTTCAGATTCATGACACTTTTCTTGTTTTAAAGATGTCAGCTTCAACCCTTTTAGCAGACTTGTGATTATAGTCTACCCTTAGACAATCAAACTCAAGCAAAAAGTCATTTCTAATTCAGATCAATCATAGTTTATGAATTCCAAGATTTTACCAGAAGCTTTTTTGTGTTGCTCCAAGAATCGGTTTAAATAACAGCATTCACCATTTAGGGAATCATGTGCCATAATTTGCATTTTAACAGTGGAAAACTGCCATGTTATCAAAATAGGCATTGTTTTTTAAAAAAAAGGATGGCATCGTCAAATTGACAAGAAGAATATACGTATAAGCTGATCTCAGCCACAGATGATGGTACAAGTTTTAATACAGAGATTTATAATGGTGACTTAACTCAGTTATCTTGAACCTGGCATTGGCTGCTAAAGATATGCTGTGCAAATCATCCAATTGAGTTGGCCTTCAAAGATGTGATTAAAAACTCTGTTTTAACATATGTTACACCATTTACAAATCCATATACAGTTTGCTCAGACAATCTAGCGAGTTATAAAGCAAAGTATTGACAGCTAGCAAGGCTCTTTGAATTGGTGGCCATAAAAGTTTTCCAAAAATACATGGAACACATCACAAACATCACAAAACATCACAAAAAGCGAGGGAAAGTTCTAATTGATGTGTGGCCATAGGGGTAGATGAAAAGTTGCTGGTACCCTAAATACTCACTGATCTTGGTGTCCCCTTTCAGCCATGGCACATTTTATCAATGTTGTTGACCTGCAGACCAGATATACAATGCAACAATTAAAAGGGGCTCCAAATATCATAATATTTTTTCTATAAAATGACACTTTGCCTTCCAAAGAAAATGATGGGACAGTCAATGTTACCATGTATAAAACGCACTCTCAAACAAAGCCAATAATAATTTAAAAAAAGTGCATCATTTACACAGGAAAATACTGTATTTTGAAGGGAGAGGTATTTTTTACCTTTGCCTCTAGATAAAACTTATAATATCCATAACTGGGTCAAATTCATCTGTTAAGAGAGCATTTCCAATTTTGAACCTAGTGATGAGTGGCTGAAGACTGAGCACTGCTCACCCTACCATGGAATATTTCATGCTATTCAAATAAAAAAACAATCTATGGATGCCAGCGTAAAAGAAGTTGGTTGCAAACTGTGCTGTTGAAGTATACTTGCAGAAAATTTGCCTTGACAGGGTTGATGATGATAATAACTTTGATGTAATAACCAGCAAGTATTTTGGAGAAAGGCCTGTCCAAGAAAAATGCTTATGTGCCCACCAATATCATCTGAATCATATGATGATCATGGACTCTCACCAGGCCTTTCCCAGAGATGCGGGCTATAGCCCTGCGCCCTCACAAAACTCACGCAAAGTAAATTTGGGAGGGCTTTTTTTCGCCCACATAGTTTTTCAATGCAACCTTCTCATTAAATCTGCGTAGGCTAGCTTCCCAATGTTTGTACTGCTTACCGCTAAATATCAGGGTGTTAGTATATAAAGAGAAAGAAGTCTATGTGTTTATCACATGTTAACAAACTATTGTATTATCTGCTAAAACTTGCAATAGAATAGGTGCACTCGCACAAAAGAAATAACATATAGCATGATTAACGCTGCAAATAATTAAAGTGAGAAACACTACACCATGCTGCCAAATATGAAACAATTTCTTTTCTCAAGTCATGACATATAAACTAGACATTCCCAAAAACAGCCACATTTGACCGGCAAAAACTAACAAAAAATAACAAGTCTCGTTTTAAGGGATGGTAGTACAAAACCTAAAGGAAAAGCAAGGAAAAATTTAACACCCATAACAACAGATTTTGTTAAAAGTTCTATCATGAAAAGGGCCTTGCCTGGATCCTGATTACTCTTCAGACGATTGAGCAAAGCTATATATCAAGTTTTTAATTCAAGGACATTTTCTTGTTTAAATTGTTGTTATGAATTTATGTTGGGATCAAAATGATAAAATTTTCTTTTATTGGTGTCTATAGAACTTGAAAGACAACTGTTTTATGATACTTCAGTACTTAAAAATCTCACAAATGCGGTGAAATCAACTGATAAAACTGTTTTCAATGATCTTCAAACTTTAAGTTGCAAATCATGTGCCTCAATGAAAAATTATGCTATGGGGCATGCAATCAGCCACGTACCTGCTAAAATCTTTATGGTGAGACTTGGAGAATACTTAAGATCAATAACACCACCCTTTGGGGTTCCTAGCAACCTGAATCCAGATTAAGGCATATGTTCCACACAAGCCCCTATTTCTCTGTGAAGTTGTCCAAATACAAGTTTTTGATATGTTAGAAGATGCTTTGCCATGAACAAACTCTTTATATCACATGTCCTAGAGCAACATTTTGTCATCTAGCTTTGCACATCATGTGCTTTTTTCTTCTTTCATTTTATTTCAGGTGTATTTAAACACTGATTGTTATCTATGAATTTGTTTCAATCCACATCAGCTTGCTTAGCTGCCAGTATTTTTAACCTCCTTATAAAATAAAAAAAAATAATATGTGGTCATAGGGCTTGTATTTCTAAGCTCTTTGCTTACTCAATGTTTTGCAAAGTACAATTTCTTGAGAGAAAAATACCAATGTTATAGGTAGAGTCCAGAAATGTTGTTAACCTTCCTCCAGACAAAAACATCCCAGAAGACAAACCTTCCTCACAAAACAATAGAAAGTGGGTGCAGCTTGGGTGTGTCATATGAGCTTTTATTGTTTTTTGTGGACCTTCCTTCGGTCAGTGGCCGTGCGACCATAATGTTTCAAGGCTTTTGTCTATTAAGTGCTTACTTATTAAACTATTAGATAATAAATCAAAATTACCATATTATTTTGATCATTGTGTTTAGAATACTGTTGTATTTTCTTCTAAAGAATGGTGGAAGATTGAAACTTCACAAACAAGGTATTGTCTTCAAGTCACAAAAAACAGGCAAGGTAGAGCAAATAACAGCAGCAGACATTGAAAATGCTAATTGGTTAAGAGTTGCAAGAGGCTTTGGTGTGAAGCTGGTGTTAAAAGATGGTACACACTATAGATTTGATGGATTCAAGGAAGGAGTAAGACGTTTAAATATTTGTCAAATTTGATGTCTGTTTTAAATAAAAGAAAATACAGTCAATAAGATATACATGCAAGGAAAATAAAGGCACTGCAAGAAAACAAACTTTTCTCAAAAACAAAGTTCCATGACTTTCTGTGAAGCAGTTACAGCAGCATTGGAAAATACATATGATTTTTGTGTTTTTTGTGTGCGCAAATTTCCTGTAAAACTGGTATCAAACCTGCTCTATCTCATGGCTATTTTAATGAAGATGTGGTGGGACTGCTTGTCCTTTGGAATAGGTAGTTACTCTTTTTGTGATATTGTCTCAGACCCATCAAACATAGTTAAGTACTAATTTTGTTCTTTATTTCATTAATATTTGTTACCATCATATTCAATTATATTATGACTCTTGGTACAGCTTTATTACCATGTTTTTTGGGCAAACCTAAAACTTTAGTTGTTATGAGAATTTGAGAGAGTCTGACTAAAGTGTTGTTTTCTCTTTAATCTGCTTTAATCCTCATCTTTTGTATTTTAAGGTATAATAAGAACTTCAGAAGTATAACATTGAAAGTTGATTCCCATAGACATGCACAGACCTATTTAATTGGCATCATCTATTTATAGGTTCTCAGAAGTATTCCAATCTAAATTTAAGGATACCCTCGACTCCTTGATTCCTGCCACTAATGGAAAGCTTTTAGATGATTATCCTTTCTATTGCAGGATTTTGATAAACTATCTAATTTTGTGAAGAAAAACTTTGAAACAGAACTAGGAGAATTAGAGCTCTCAGTAAAGGGATGGAATTGGGGAGTTGCAAAATTTAATGGTCAGTATTAATTCTTTAAGATTTATCTTCTTTAATATCCATATCAATACCATACTTATACTTTTTAAAAAACTTGCCAGCATTAAACATAATTTTTGTAAATTTATGCAAAAGAAATGTAGAGTCACAAAGCTATGTTTACTCATATTAATCATTATTCAGTATTAAGTAATTCTTGCCCTTTTTCCATTGTTTTTAGTCATGGAAGTGTTGAGAACTTTGTAAAAATATTTTTGCTACTGCAAACCCAATTTTTTCTTTACAACCATGCTTGTGGGAACTACGTAAAATCGGAATTAATGTTTTCTTAGAAGTAATCGGAATTAACTTTCTCTGAGTCTAAACGGTTAATAATATAATTCTTAGTTACTCTGCCTTCAGGTTTTCCTGTTTGATATGGTTCCTTTGAAACCCCATTGTTTAAGTATAGTGCTACTTTTTTATGGTAAATGTTATTTAGCTCACTCTCCCATACTTTCTTTGCTGTCTGTTTATAGCAAGAACAAAAAGCAAAAGAAGAAAAATATTCAATAATTTTCCAGTTAATAAAAACCATAAAGTTCAGTTGTTTAGCAGTTGAAGCTCAGGCAAAAACTGTTCTATTTTATGGAATGCTTTTAAGTGGGGAAAAAATAGGAAGAGCAAAAGAAACTGTAAAAAAAAACTCAAAGTATTCAAATATTCTGCATTTATGATGACTTGTAGCTTAATTTTTATGGTGTTTTGGAATTGCACAAAAGTTGCGTAGAGGTAATTTCACTTTTTTGTTATTTAGGTGCTCTGATGACATTTGAAGTAGATAAAAAGCCAGCATTTGAAATTCCTTTGAAAGATGTCTCACAAGCTACTTCAGGTATGTCTTCAGTTATATTTAATAAATGTTGTCAAAAGGGAAACCCAATTGGTTTTTCTGTTTTTTAAGCAGCTTATGTTGCCTGATGTCTTAAGCTGCACAATTCAAGTATGATACCATTCTTGAATAGGAATTTTTTGTTAATGCTGTAACAGTTAGGCACTGAAAGGAATAAAGGTTGTGTTTATGGTTGTAAAAAGCACCAATAGACAAATATTGCAGCCTTTAACTCTATTCCATGCTTCTGAGATCCATGAAAACATGTTTGCTATCTGGAATTCGTGCTACATTTCAGATTCTCTGACAACATCAACTTTCAATTAGTTGAGTAGTCTGTTTTTGACATGTGTGCCAAATTTTGAACAGAACAAGTCAAAATTTTTTTTGGTTTTGCAAATTTTTGGACAAGGAATTGCTGAATGTCAGAAAGGAAGTTTGAGAATGTTCTTGGTGGTTTTAATTAGTGTTCATATTTTTAGTTTGCCTCACTTCCATTGTCAACATATTTTGTGATAGAAAATAAATAATTATTTAGTGGTCAAGTATGCAAAGGAGTTTGTTCAGGACGGGACATGTTTCTCCATGCAATTCAATGTTGTGTCTATACCAATGTGAAATTGTTTACTTGTATGCTTGATTTGAAGATGTTCCAGATGACAGACTTAAAAAAGGGGATTAAAAATTTTGTTTGAAACCTCTAAGAAAGTTCTAAAAACATGGTTGATGTTCATCGTAAAATTTGTTATGCCAAAGCTCCTGTTCGTATTATTTAACATTAAGTTAAAAAATTTGCAGTGTATAAAATTTCGGTCAATAGTCTTTCGGACAAATCAATTTTCAGGCAATTGTTAGCCAGTCATTCAGGCCCCGTTCACAAGGGAACGCAATCGTTCCGTTCCGTTCTTCACCGTTCCGAAAAGCGTAACGCTCAGGGGTTGTGTTCACACGGGAACGCTTCAAACGACATCGTTCCGTTCCAAAAAGTGGAACGATAGAATAAGTGATACGAAAAGTGGAACGGTACAGGGGCGGATCTAGGATTTTTGGTGACTATAGCTCAAATCTTTTGGGATCGGGACCACGCCCTCCTTGCTTGTGGGACACGCTCACTAAATGGGCAAATGATAAACCATGTGTGTTTATAGTTGCTTCGTATTCAAAAATATTCCTTCGAACATCCTTTCTCTATTTCCAGGGACGCCAGAGAAGGGGGTGTGGGGGTACAACCGCCCCTGTTACCCTTCAGCAGAAGAGGCAAGGGTTGTTTCTAATAAAGTTCCCTTGAAACTGGCCAATTGTAATAATCAGAGAGATTCATATAAAATTCTGAACTTCTCAAAACATGTAAAATAGTTCTATATGCCGAAAGTTAGCCAATGTTGAAGATACCTACAGAAGATCGAAATAAAATTGCAGTTACGTATGAATTTGTAGAAGCTGAGAATTATCTTTCAAAAACCCTTTTACTCAAGCCTGCCCCCCCCCCCTCTCGCCGCTTGGTCGTTCCGCCGTCCCTTTCTATTCCCTAGTAGGTCCTTGCCTTTGAAGCTACATTACAGGGGACCCAGGATGTGAAAACGAGCTATAGTCCACTGTTGCTTTACAGGGGACAGAGAGCGGAGAAGTAACGTGGATACTCATATTCTATTGGTTAAAAGGCCATTTTCAAACCTGACTATAGCTTCACTATAGCTCGCGCCAAAAATTATAGTACGGGTTTCATTGTCTTCGATGCCTTTTCCAGAGCAAATCCCCAGACCGACTATAGCTCGGAATATCCACTGTAGCTCAATTCTGGTTGGCTACTGTCAACAAAGAACGAAACTTCTGATTCGTCTAAGTTTTATTATTAGACCATTCTGCGCTCAGTGTTTTATATCTTATCTGGAGAGGCCTTGTGATGACACATTGCCAGCATTGCATGTTTGTTAATCGCATTTAATAACCTAAACCGCTGCTTTCAAATGTTGATAGTAAACACTTGTGGGCATAAACACATTTTTAGGGACTGCAAGGAAACTTTGTATTTCGAAAATCAAATACTGAGAATTTGACTATAGCTCGAGCTACAGTTGCTATAGTCTGGATCCGCTCCTGGGTACGCAATCGTTTCGTTCCGTTCCCGTGTGAACGCGCAGAACTGGTCCAGAAAATGGAACGATAAGAGTTTTGCCCTTGGCGCATGCGTCTGTGTTGTTGTTGAGGGAAGGAAAAGGTGACAATAATAAACTCAGCGAAAAAAATGGAGGATTTCAAAAACACAATTGGGCTGAATCTCGCCGTCAGTCCATTTGAAAGATTCAACACCATTCTGCAAACATTGAAATTCCTTCCTTTTAGGGTTGGCTTTAATTTTCCCACGAGCTTGCTTATTTTGGGGCGCTTTTGTATTCTCCATTTATTCAAATTGTTTAAAAAATTCAGAGATAGCTCAAAGATAAATCGAAATGATGAAATCTATCTCCATAAAAGGGACGATTGCGTTCCCGTCTGAACATAAACAAAAATCGATACGCAATCGTTCCGTTACCGTGTGAACAGTATACTTTTCCGTTCCAGAAACTGGAACAAAAATGGAACGGAACGATTGCGTTCCCGTGTGAACGGGGCCTTAGATGTTTAAAGCAAAACCACTGCAAGCTATTGATTTACATATGTTTTTATGATTGTTTTTGAACTGTTGAACTTGTATAAAACTCTGAGTACTGAAATGTGATAATTTTAAGAAACTTTCAGTACCGAACTTTCAGTGAGGGCGACTTTTTGATAAATGATGAAAACGATGATATTATTTGTTTGAACGGATTTTTCTGTTAGTTCCGATGTACAACTATTTTCAAAAGTTTTGCAGATTTTCTAGTGCTTAAGTTTTGCAACCTTGCCATCCGTTTTGTTTTGTGGAAAAACAGATTCAGAAATCAGTTGACTTCTGTTGCTTCAGTCAATTTATATTGCGCATTCTCACTTTTGATCCATGGGTTTCCTGTGTTGGCGTTTTGGAGATCCATGATCGCCAACGTCCTGGAAGGAGAAGGCACAAATGAATGACTGATTCTCTCTTCATACAAAAAGTTCTTTCATCTTGACAAATTTTCAGACAAGCTTCTCTCAATTTTTCGGACAAACCCTTGTCCGAGAATTTGTCACGCTGAAAGTTTTTGCACTTAATTTGACACATGTGGCTAACGATTGCCTATCACCTTTTGGTCAAGATGGTTCACAACATAGTAGGTAAAGACAATAAGTTGGAGGTTTAAATTTATTTATTTTTTACTCCGTGACTGCACCAAAACTATCAAGAACTTTTAGGTTAAATCGACTTTCTGGTCAATAAAGTACGCAACTTAGTAGTTGAAAACAAAAAGTTGGAGGTTTAAATTTGTTGATGTTGAATCGAAAGCTGCTCTAAAACTGTCACAGAAAATTTAGGTAGATTGCAGTATGTATTCATAGCAGTAACTAACAATGCTGTATAGACCCAAGGCAGCCCTTCGATGTATAACAGCAATGACAATTGGATGCATATTATCCCAAAAAGCCATGGAGTTTCGTCAACTTTTAAAGTTTTTTTACAAATTACAATGGTTATAATCTACAAAATAAGGAAGTGAAGAAAGGTTACAACTCTAAGATTTGCTAAGAATAAAGTGAAATGAGCTGAGGATGATCCAAATGTTTGACTGGTCCAGTACCCTCTATCAAAGACTTTTTGTCTCTAAGTCGAAACCTAGACATCATATTGACGTTGTATTCGGGTTGGTCACAGGCGTGATGTCATGTCTGGCAATTAAACACTTTGATATGATGTCATGTCTAGGATGTGGCTTTGCTTAAGTGTGTTCCGGGAACCTTTTTGTTCATAACAGAAGGTAAGAAAAGAAAATGTTCGAAGGAAAGAAAGAGAAGGGAAATAATGGAAAGGAAATTTTGCAGAGTTGATGTGTTGAATTTCTACCCCACTTGCTCCATTCTAACGCCCCTTACGATTTCCTATAGAATCGTATTAACTGTAGAAAGCATTTTCGAGAAAAATTGTCTTATCTTAACTAAGAACCCTTCCAAATTAATATTCTCATGGATGCTTCCAAAGACAGATAAATATCATCCATTTTTTAGTCTCTTCTGGTTATAGGCAAGAATGGATCATGTTAAAACGATTTTATTTACTTGTTTATTGTAATGTTTGAGGGTGATTGTAACCAGCAGTTGATTTATGTTTTCAAAAATCATTTTGTACATAGTTTTTATTTGGACATATTGTCTTAGTCAAGCTTAATTTTTACCCATCCACGCAGCATCAATTATGAAACGGTGTTTTCTGTTTTGATCGAAAGCATTTTTGATTGAAGTCGGGGCATTCGGTCAACACGTAGATTACAATTGTAGTGTACAGACGTTGTCAAGGAAATTCTTTTCTCTAACTTTTACTTAGATAAGAAATCCGCGGTCGTCTTGGCATCAAATTGCGAATACATTATGAAACTGTAAAATCTTGAAACGTTTCTATAGCAAGGCTAAGATTGTTATGCTCCTTTGAATTCTTCTTTGTATTGATAAAGGGATATTTAGTTTTCTATTATTAATTTGATAATTATGAGTGATATATTCTTAAGCAATGTTACGAGGGAACATCGTAAGATTACGTCTTTCCTAAGATGTCAGTAGTACAACATTTATATTTAACTGCCATTCTAACATCGTCCAACCATAAATTCTTTCAACTATAATTTGTAGCATTTGGTCATTGCCAAATTGGTTTTCTGTTTTCCATAGCTTTATTAGCAAACATTCTAAATGCATCTTATCAAAAACGTCATAAAGAAAAATGCATCTTATCAAATCGAAATCCGGCAGGTGTAAGGGCCTGTTTACACGGGATCGGGGGATCGGGTCCAAACGGATCCGTACCCAAAGTGGTACGGATAGGCTTTGTGTTTACACAGGACCTGGCGGATCCGATCCCATTTGGATCTGCTATCCGTACCCGTGCCAGCAAAAATAAAAAAACCGAATGGTAAATCACTGCTTAAAATGACGTACGCTCTCAAGAATAATCACACTTTAATCACAAATTAATCACATTAATAAAAAAATCAAATTAATCACAAAGTATTACATTAATCACAAAAGCTACTTAAAACAAATAATAGAATCCTTGCCCACTTTTATCCGGATATGCAAACAAACGCTCGAGAACAACAAGCTTTTATAAGTACCGCCCAATGGAGCAAAAATGAAGGCCTCGATATGAGACCGGGGTCACTGAAACAACTATTGCTGTTTTTGTTGCCCAAATCAGGGTTGCCAGGTGGTATGGGTACTAACTAAGTAGCCAAACCGTTTATGAAATTAGACCAAATCACGTCAAAATAAGCCAAATTTACCCATAACACAATGGCGTCATAATGCATAGGCGCAGTAAAAAACAAGCACAGTTGGCAGTTTATCAGTAACCCTTCCCATCACTAGACTCTGTAAGCCAAACATATTGCGCTTCCTAAGACTTCTTGTACTTCCTTGCACTGCCGTATCTACTAACCTTGCCACTTGGTCGTCATAGATGGTTACAAACTTTAGAAAAATAAAGGATCATTCACTATTTATTGTAACTTTTTACAAATCTGTAGATCAATCTCTGCGATTATGCGTGTTATTGATTACTGAAAAATTGCTAATTCTTTTTCAAAATCGGTTTTGAAGAAGCAAACATTTTGAGTCGCACTGAAGCTTCTAGTCCGGCACTCTTCAGAGTATAAAGCGTTAGAACATAGATCGAAAACGTTTAAAGTTTTGTACCACAAACAGATTGTTTACAAATTTAATTTAAATAAATTATCCATGGGCTCCGACACAGGTTGAAAAAGGGGAGGAGGGGGAGCCAAGAGAAACTTTAACAGCCATGACAGGAGATTTTGAAAAAAGCTCTATTGTTTTGGATGAAATTGGAGGGCATTAGCACTCGGCCCCCCATCCCCCATTCGTCGGAGGCCCTGTTATAAAAGGAAATACTCAAAAAGTTAGTCGATCAAATGTTGAAAAAATATGCTATAGCAATGACTTCACGTCACTACATGAGAAATCCAGACACCAATCCATTTGAATCAAATCAATGCCAACTCAAGTGTCTATCTGGTTCATGGACATATTATGATTATCAATTTTATGATTTTATGGGGTTTTAATCTCATTTTCGAACATTCATTTAGGAGGCCAAAAATAGCCAAAATGAGACAGGAGGCCAAAGGTAAAACTTCATAGCCAAACATTCTTAAGAAAGGCCACCTTTCTCAAATTTGGCCTTCCAGTAGGCCAGTTGGCAACCCTGGCCTAAATGCCACTGAAGTTGATCTGACCGAAAACCACTCCTGATAGCAGTCATTTTTCACCCATTGCTACAGGGGCGGATCAAGACAGTTCCGGATTTCGCAGTTGCAACTGTTGCATTTTTGGGAAATAATTTATGTCAAATTCTTGTAATTACCACAGATAAAGTTTGATAATCAAGTTCCACATTTCTGGAACTTACAATTTTCATATCAACAGAGCACATGCCAAACCTTAATGTCTTTTGTAAGGTGTTCAACAACTGTTCACTGTTTCTCATTCCAGGCTATTTGCTTCCATATTGCTAATACTAATGTTCAGGAAAGATAGCTCTTTTGATGCAAATTCAAATTCTTATGACGAAAGTTGACGGCCCACAGAAAAGAGCACATGCATTTGCTTTAACGACTTTGACAAGGTGTTCAACAACTGTTCACTGTTTTTCATTCCGGGCTATTTGCTTCCATGTTGCTAATACTAATGTTCAGGAAAGATAGCTTTTTTGATGCAAATTCAAATTCTTATGACAAAAATTGACGGCCCACAGAAAAAAGCACATGCAGTTGACTTAATGTCTCAGTCAAAGTGATCAACAACTTTTCACTGTTTTTCACTTCAGGCTACTGTCACCAACCTATAATACTGATTTAATATTTTGCTTATGCTGCTGTTCAGAAAAGATATCTATGTTTTTAGTTGTTAATGTTATTAAACTTTTGCACCTTTTTTGTTTGTAAATCTGCGGTCAAACGGTCATATTTTTTTCTGAATCCACCCCTGTACTGAACTGCTAATTTTTCCTTTTCATTTTCATAAAGTATGTTGCAAAACCGTTGACGACTTTTATTGAGCATGAAATTATTTGAGAGCACTTTTTAATCTATGATTCAGTTTCTAAAGAATCAAAAATTAATAAAAAACATTAATCACTATTATCCCTAAAGATCAAATTAATCACACACAAAATTTATTTCATCACAAATTTATCATTAGTGATTATTAATCTCGTACACCATTTTCAGGAGTGATTTGCCCCTTGGAAAAAACAATAGCAACAGAACAACAGAAAGGGATAAGCAAAAAAATTGAAACGACATTTGAAAAACTTATTAGAAATAAAACCAGCTCCGAGCAGGGGATTTAATTACTTTAACGAGCACTTGTGTTATCCAGACACTAATATGGGCTGGAAATTCGATTACAAAACTACGAAACAAAAAAATGAGGCTGAAAAATAGCAAATTATGCGATAAAATTACAATGTGCCACGTGTTCCTATGTATAAAACGTGTAGGTATAGGAGTTTTTTCAATTTATATCAAATAAAAGCATACTCGAAAATTGAAGAAGTCCCCCCCCCCCCATTTTTTCAGAAAGTTGGTCCTCGAAATTCTTGCAAATCCGATAAGAAAACTTCGGGGGGGGGGGGAATTATCTTATCTAGATCGTTAGAAGCTGATTCGGTGTGAAGCCAAAACATTATTTTCCATGTGCAATTATCATCTTGTCAGTAGGTTTTGTAGATTACCATCCTTTGTTTCTTGATATTGTCTACAATGCCATAAAATCTTCTTTAAATAAGCAGCGAGAGACATATTTCCAACAGAATTAACTCTTCGAAAACAATTTGCAATCAAATCGAGGAAGCTGATCTTATTTATAGTCCATAATATTAAATAACTAAACCTGGACTATCGATTAGAACTTTGTATCCCCTCGAAAGCTTTTGTGAATTACTTGTACCTTGAACAGATCATTGTATTAGATTTCGTGACAGTATAGCTTTTGAAAGTTTTTACTAAAAGCACTTGATTATGAGTCTCTTCATGATTTTTACACACGTAAAATTTCTAACTTCAAAACTCTGAAATTAAGCATCAGGCAATAGTGTTCATTGTCAACGGGAAATTAAATGACAGTTCTTTGGAGACAGAGGATGTTTCCTAAGGAAGAAAATGCCTCTCGCGGGAAAAAGGGCGTGATCCCAAAAGGGCGTGATCCCGGACCCCTTTTGTCCCTCCCACTTTTCCCGGGCTGGAGCTGCCACTGCCTTGGAGTACCAACAAGGCTCTTACACGGCCCATGCTTAATGCACATGATATCTGTCTTCAGATCTGTCGTGACTGGAAGAGACATGGTGTGAATTTTGATTTGATGCGAAGTATTGAAGGACCAAGTAATAGAATGAAAATCTGTTCTTTGTCAAGTTTACTTATTTCGGCATCAGTGAAGAATTGGGAGGGGGCTAAATTGAGAGAAAGGCAAATAAATGCATAGATAGATAGTATAACAGCACAGATAGTATTGCAATGCGCAAATTTTACCCAGATAGGATTGCATTAGTCTTTGCCCGTTTGCAGATTAATTCGACAGGAGGAATAAACAAGCAAATTATTAAGGGTAGTGTAATTTTCAATTTTTTATGTTTCCAGATGGCTGGAAAATGCACTCATTGAAACAATTTTTACCGCCTCACAGTACAACCTAACTCTTACAATTAGAATTGATCTATTTGATGGTTTTAATAAATTACCGGGTGTAGATGTTATGTTTTAGCTTATATAAACCAAAATTTTCAGGAAAACAAAAGGATTTCCAGGAATTTTCAGATAAAACAAACGGAGTTTCACGAAAGAGTGATTTGCCACTCAAAGTAAAATTTTTCTTCTGGCTATAACAGCGCCTCCACGAAGGGGGCGTGGTCGGCGCTATTTCCCCTCACGTTTTTGCAAAACAATAGACTTTTTTCAAAATCTTTTGTTATGATTGTTAAATTTTCCGTTGCCCCCCCCCCCTGCACCACTTTCCAACCTGTGTCGGAGCCCCTGTATGATAAAACGTAATACGATGGATGAGATCGGTGACTGACTTCTGATTTTTATGAAAACGATTGTAAGCCGAGAACCTAGGGCCTATGCCCACTAATTCCAACCCGCACCATTTAACCTGCGTGTTTTTATTCATCCACAGCTGTGTCTATATTTTCTTATTTCACTTCCGACTATAATTTTTCTCACGTTTGACTGTGGAGTGTCAGGCAAAAAGCTCTCTGTATGTCTTTGCTGTTTTTAGCAGTCTTCAGTTATTCACTGAGAATTGTTTTATGCTCAGATTAATTTATCACCGAAATTGTAATCTCTTGACTCTGTCTGCGGACATGCAGCTATATAATTTGCGCAGTTCAGTCTCCTTGAATGAATGTATCAACACATTTCTTAATACTTTAAACGCACCCGAAGAAACAAATGCTAATGAATTTGTTATATTCTATGGTATTATTCGAACGATCTTTCTATCACGTTATTGTCAATTTTCTTTACATCCTGTCATTGTTTCTTCTTCCCATTTTCACTTTCCCCATACCTCTGTCAATTTTCCTACCCGCCGCATCTAAGTCAGTATAATTCTCAAATTAAAATGTTGATCGATAGCTACTGGAAAAAACTCCAGCGATTGGTCTCCTGTCAAAAATAAAGCATCACTCACTTCCTTTTGACAGCAGTTATTTACAAATTGATTCAATGATCACTAAGTTAAAACATGCATTTTATCCAGGAAAAAATGAGGTGACAGTTGAATTCCACCAAAACGATGACGCTCAGGTTTCTTTAATGGAGATGAGGTTCTTTGTTCCAAACTCTGGAGATGGCGATGATCAAGTGAAGGTATCTGTTTTTATTTTTTATTTTTTCTCGTATCGCAATGCAATAGATGTTGGTAAACAATGATGAGCGGCGAAGATGCGATATCCTGACGGCAAAATCCTGCATCACCCTCTGAAAAAAGGTATAGAAAAATATTGGCTGAAAAAGTACTCTTCTATTCATACATTTTTGAAAAGTATCACTGCTAAATCACGAACTTAATTCTCTTGTTTGAAAAGTTTCTTTTGACAAAGATTTTTCTTTGAACGAGGGTGGATTTGTTCATCTTTGTTGTTGAAGAAAGATCGAAGAAAGAAAGTTTGGGATAAAAGCTATTTATTGTTACAGACTACTGGCAGTTTTTTTGCTGTATAATCATCCGTGTTAAAAGGGTTTAAGAAAGAATCTAGTTAAAGTCTTGCAAATCAACTAATTATAGCACGTCTTGTCAATTACTGTATATCAGCTCCGTATAATTGCTCGTATTTGTTGTAATACCTCATATGATCTTGCAGAATTTCCAGGAGCAAGTTATGTCAAAAGCTGATGTCATTCAAGCAACAGGAGATGCTATTGTTTCATTTGAAGAAATCGCATGCCTCACACCAAGGTAAATAATTTCGTGAATGCTAAGTCTATATATTTTGAAACCTTTACATATTAAGATGCACTCCTGGCCTGTCGCGATGAAAGCATTTGATGAAATGAAAAAAATCTGCATGATGTACAGGTCAACTAATATTCAGAGATTTTTTGTTTTATAATTATTGTCTGCATTAATTACGTGGCAAGTTACTAATTGATTTGCTGCTAAATGTTTCAATGAATATCTTATTATTTCTATATAAACGACGATTCCTATAATGGTCCTGTCACATTGATGTCCCTTTAGTATGTTAGAAAAACTATTGAGAATTAATAAAATCTTCTTGAAATGAAATGCAGAGAGGATGATAAGATACTTCAACTAACAAATAAGAACATCGGATATGAATGTAATAAAACAAGGTTTATGCAGTATGAACGCTAATAGAGACAACGAAATATGTGATTTATATTAACAGTAATTGTGAAACACATTAATTTCTTCAGAGTTACCTGCTTTACTTATCTTTTATGCTTGCATATCCTTACATGAGATCCGACGAATTTTCAAACTTTTTTCTTTGGTTACAGGGGAAGATACAGCATCAAAGTTTACCCAACTTTCCTTCAGCTTCACGGAAAAACCTACGATTACAAAATACCTCATACGACTTGCCTGCGTCTGTTTTTGCTTCCCCACAAAGACCAAAGATTCATGTTTTTCGTTGTAAGTATATAATTTATTTAGAAACATATATATTGGCACATGAATCAAATTTTATTTCATAATTCAAAGCTACGCGTACTGCTAAATTAAATTGTCAAAATGCCAATAAACATCTCAGAATTGGCTTTTGTGTCATACACTGTAGCTTTTTGTTTTATTTACCCAAATGATGTCAATTAAAAAGATTATCAACATTACCACAAAAGTTTGAAGTGCAGTGAAACAAAATCAGTCCTGCGAAACATCATCTAAGCTTGATTTGGAAATAATCTTTAATCGATGTCAGGATAAATTTCTGACATGCAGACTAAGGAAGTCAGTACTTTATTTGTGTTTTACTAAAGCTTCTAAAGCGTTTCCTGCCTTGACATATTTTATAGCCAAATGGATGTTTCGTGCATTTTAATTATCCGGTTTATTTGTTTTGCAGATCAGCATGGATCCCCCAATTAGGCAAGGACAAACAAGATACCCCTTCTTAATCTTGCAATTTGAACGTGATCAAGAAACCAGTGTGAATCTGAACCTAAGCGAGTAAGTTAAAAATCTTTTCCTTATTTGATATTAAACTTATATCTCAATTGTACAATGTTGCAAGGCCTTTTTTGTTTCCTTAAATTATGTAGAATCACAGGCATATATAGCTATGATGAAATTTGGTCTCACTTCAGCAGAAAAAAAGCAGAAGGTCCTTTTCTCTTGTCAAGTTTCTGAATCAATTTTATCCTGTACATTCATTTTCTTCTGCATTTTTTTAACATCAGTCTTCACCTTCGTCCATTCAAGGGGCACCTCCCTATAAAAGAAAAAAGCTGTGCATTTCCCTAATTTTTTTATATTCACAATAACGAAAATATATTTATTAAGATGATACCAGTGGAGGTTAATAGGCATGGCTAACAACCTTGATAAATAACAATACACAAATATTTAAGACTATGCCATATTTTTTTGGTCTTTCCTTGGAGCGCTGGTTTTATCAAATGATATAGACTGCTGTAATATTTCATAATTCGTTAGGCCAACTCAAGAAAGTATTTCGTTTTTCATCAAATATAACTCAACTTCATCTTCATACCACAATCACTCTTAATTCTAAAACTATATCAATGATAAATCAACAGAACCCAGGTATGCCTGATTATTAAAACAGTTTGTGTCTATATACTACAACTGCTTGTATGGAAATCTTGCTTCCTCTTCTCTTCTTCCCCAAATGATAATAACAAGTCTGTTTTAGAGATCGCAATACCTTGAAAACTGCACTGTACATATTTTTTGTAAAGAACAGGGTGGTTCTATGTTGCTTCTACAAGTTTCTATATTGTTTAATTGTGCACAATTGGGGTTTCATGCTTTAATAAAGCTTTGACGGTACCTCATTTTTCTGCCTACATATGAAATAATTTTTGAGCCGAATCTTTTTTAGCAAAGATATCGAAGAAAAATATAGTGGGAAACTGCGAAAAGAAATGTCTGGACCTTTATTCGAAGTTGTCAGTCGTGTTCTCAAGGAGATTATTGGTCGAAAAATTACCGTCCCAGGAACTTTCAAAGGGTAATTAATTTATGTTTGTTTTCCCTTTCAATAATCCTGTTTTGTATATTCCGTTGATTTTGTTTGCAGTAAAGAAGTAAGTACATCGCTTTTGCTTTTCGAATAAAATCAAATCACTGTAGTTCTGCATCACAGGTGCCTATCTACAGTGGGTTGTTAGATTCCATGTTTTAGAAAGTTTTACCATCCGTTTCACTTAACTGTGACCTCCCCTTAATGATTTGGCCATCAGAGTCAAAAGTAAGCATATACAAAACTTGAAATATTATGAAACCGTTTTACCTAAAGGTTATTGTTCACCCAATCATATTTACTTTGAGCTTTATCCTTGTTTTGTCTTGTTTATGGCAGCAACTGTTACAATTGATTGCACGACCAATCAATCGTTCGTGCTATATCATTCCTCTCCATTCATTTTCCCCCTTCCCTTATGGAAGTCGTACTAATACTTTCTTGCTATCTGTTCGCCTCTCTCTCTAACTCGGTACTGATAGGATTTTTTTCTTCTACTCGTGAAATTGCATGTGAGCTAGCAGCCTCGCTGCTAATTCTGCCATTGCTTGATGCTCGTTGGAGTGTATGGAGTGTATTTTTCATTGTGAAGGAGTTTGATTTTGAAAATTGTGCTACTTTTATCGTTATATTCCATTAAGGCCTTGCATAATGATGGTTTTAAATGAAGCCATTAGATCAAGTATCTTCATAAACCTTACCAGGGAAAAGGAAATTGAGGTTAAGAAGGTCTGAAAGTTTGGCCACTTTTTTCCGTACAATTGTCTAATGAAGCATTTTTTCCCGACTAGAATTTCAAGAATTTTATTAAATGAAGATATTCAGGGTAACAACAGCATTTTCTTTCAAACGTAACCAAGAAAAGGACCAGGACACGCTCGAGAAGCATAGCTTTTCAGTGTCCTAAAACTACCTTCGGAAGCTAGGTAGCAAACAATATATTAAAAGATATGTTAAAAGGTACAGCAATTTAGCCTTTGTGTAGAAAAGAGTATAGAATGTCGGGTCAAGTTGGGTTGAGAAAAATCAGGGGAAAAGTTCGTCACTTGCGAAAAACCTTAGCATATCCAAATTTTTTCGTTTCAAAATTTAAACAAAGTGTTTGAAAGCTTTACATTATTTTACTATTTAAGTTGTTAAACATTTGGATCCCTTTGAGTTTTCTGTATGAGATTGTGCGAGACAACTTTCTCTAGATTCAACCATACTATCAACAGATCAGAATGTTTTGTCAAAATGCAATGGCCCGTTCTAAGCCATCATGTTTTTTAGTTTGGTTTTTAATTAAAGGTTTACAGTCCGAGTTTTCAAAGGGTTTATTGTAAGAAATTCTTTTCAATTTGCCCTTCCAATACCCCTATTTGCACCTTTGAAGTCACATTGTAACAATCACTCAGAAGTACTTTTTGGTATCCATGTTTATCGGGCAAATTTTCTTGCCATTTTAGAATGCTGTAAGCTGTACTTCTGACTTCATGTGATATCTAGTGTTTCTATGTAATTTCGGAAAACGCTCCCCTATTTCTCTCTTATCACAATAATAATAGCAGTAAATTTGATTTATTTGTAACGTGTTTCTTTATGTATTTCACTAGTTTACAGTTCCTAATTTTCCCGCCTTTCACGGTTTTTTCCTTATTTCTGCAGCCACTCTGGCACAAGCTCTATCAACTGCTCGCATAAAGCGGGCAACGGTCTTCTTTATCCTCTGGAACGAGGATTCATATTCGTCCACAAACCACCAGTTCATATTCGATTTGATGAGATTTTATGTGTGAATTTTGCAAGAGGAAGTACGACAGGCAGAACTTTCGATTTCGATGTTGACCTAAAGAATGGTACTTCCGTGTCATTTAGCAACTTGGAAAGGTATGAATCAACTTTTGAACAACTTTTGATACAGACATAGAACTTGTACCAACTTTAAATAAATAAAGAAAGAAAAAATATGAGACAAAGGAACCAATTTTCTCCCTTTTCTTGTGCTATAGGCAGCATGTTTGCTTCCTATACATTCAGGTTTGCTGTATTTGAAAATTTCGTTAGTTCTTTGAGCCCAAGTTTGCAAATTTTGTAGAACTTATTTTTATATTTCAAGGTCAAAATTATCAGTCTTGTATACTATGCAGCCATTACATGATAACATTTTTGCAATCAGCACTTTCAACTACCCTAATTGACTTTCTTCAGAGAAATATGGTTTTCTGTTGAATTCTGGATGTCATTAAAAACCTTTTGCCTACCATATATTGCGAACATTATATCGCAGATTACAGGTTTTCTTTATTTCCTATGGTAGCCGGGCCTTTTTGTTAATTCAGAAAGATGCATGTTTAGAGTGTCTTCCGTATTAATGAAATTAGAATAATAATGTATTTAGGAGCATTTTGAAATTTTTGCAAAGTTCTTGTAATTTTACTTAAGGCAAGATTATGGTCATCTCTACGATTTTGTGACGTCAAAGAATCTAAGAATACGCAACAAGGGAGGAAAGGTTAGTAGAAGCTTTTTAACAATGTTCCTTGTATATTTTTTTTAATCAGCTTTTTTTTGGTCGGTGTCTATGTCTTTTGAATTGGCTTTATGTTGATGGAATTACTCGTCTTTATAATAGGATATTTAGCAATTTAACTTTACTCTCATTACTTGACTAGCTTGGTAATCAATATCCATTTTCATTTTTTCAAATTAAGCACTCTCACCCTTTTCGTTTTCATTTTGTCCTTGTATTTCCTCACATAGTTGCCCGCTTAAGTAATTCCTTGCACAGTATAAGCCCTGACTAAGCTGCATTTGCAATTAGCTATACCTTGCCGTAGATTCATTTCTAGGCCTAGATTTCATAGCGTTATTTTCTTTTACCTTTTTCTGTCCTGTCTTGCATCTGCTTTCATTTACACCTTTACACTACTATGACTTTACTTTCTAATGATTTCTGTTCTTAACTTCTTGCGTTGCTTGACATTGCAATATCATTTGTTTATCTTCTAATGGGCCTGGATTGTAGAAACACACGGTATGAAGCACCTTGCTGCAACTTTTGGTATTCTGTTAGTTTGATTTATTCATTTAGCCAAGTCTATTGTAGAAAAATGTATTTTTTCTTCAGTCTGGAGGTGCGACTGTAATGGACGACTTAATGGTTTCGGATGAAGAGTCACCCGACTTCTATTTGGAGAAAGTCAAAGCCGAAGCCGCAGAAGACGATGACGATTACGAGAGGGATGATGACGAGGAATCAGGTAGATTTTTGGTTCTTAGAACTGGTGTACTTCCTGTTCCTTGTTAAGCAGATATCGCACATTCGAAGTTTGAAATTCTTACAAAATTAACGATAGTAATCCTTATTATTATGGCACAATTGTAACAAGCTTGTATCTAAACTTTTGAATCAAACTTAGAAGACAGTCTTTAGCTATATTTTCCTTTTTCATTTTTTCCCTAAAGCCTTGTTTTCTCAAACTATTTTATTCCAAGACACCTGTCCCCTAGAAAACTTCTCCGAAGTTTTTGATAATCTTTCTGTCTCTCTAAGGAAATAAGGCGAAATATTAGTCTTGTAAAAATTGTCTATAACATTCGTGACCGTGCAGAGAACCTTAAAAAATCGACGTATTCCATTTTGCAATGAAGATTGGTACAAAAAATTTGTCGTTTTATCTTTTTTTTCGAAAATGTGTTTTTTGCATTTAACAGATTGAAGTTATGTACAGATCGATCGTTGAAATTTTGAAATTACATGATATCTTGATAAGTCTGGCTAGCTTGAATTGCTATATAAAGAAACGTTTAATTTATGGATCAAAAAACATATAAGGATGAGAAAACACATGATTTTACCGACCACGATTTTGCCGATCAACTCATGATTTTGCTGACCAACTTACTATTTTGTCGACCAACTAAAGGTTTTGCCGACAAGCTTATGATTTTGCCGACAAGCTTATGATTTTGCCGACCAATTAAGGATTTTGCGGACAAATTTACAATTTTGCCGATCAATTTGCAATTTTATCGATCAACTTGTGATTTTACCAACTAACTTACGATTTGGCAAACCAACTTATGGTTTAGCCGATCAACTTACGATTTTGCGGATCAACTGAAGACTTAACCGAACTACAAATAGAAAATTTGGGGTGTACCTCCACAAAATCCCTGAGAATTCACCTCTCATCGCTCGAGTAAACAATTAACGAAAAACCTTTTTAAATGTTTAATCACAAATCAAAAATTTTTTTTGATAACACTATGACAACGTGAAATATTATCTTCCGTATAGCTGATTATTATTATTTATTATACTTTTTATCTTGTGTAGTTTTTTTATTATTTATTATACTTTTTGTCTTGTGTATTATTAGGAAAGGTAAATATAAGAAATAAAACGTTTATTTGTTTTTCGCAGATGAAGATTTTAACCCGGATATGGCGGAGGAAGATGTGAAAGAAGAGTAAGTTTTCTGTCTCATTCTCTCCAATATTTTGAAGTAATTTTTCGCATTAAACCATATGATATTTGATGACCTCGTTTTGTATTCTTGACACCATATTAATTTTATTCTAAAATTTAGCATTTTGCTATTTCGATTATGATATTCATTAGGCAAAACCCAATTTGGCAAAAGCCGTTTGGAATTTCTGCGAAACATTTACAAGTAGAAAGACCTCTTCAAGCCAATGAAATAAAGTGTGTCAAGTTTGTTTTTTTTAGGATCAAAAAATATTGCAGGCCTCAAGCACAGTTTTTATCGTAAATATAACTGCAGACACTAGGTTTATCAAAACTGGTCGAGAAAAAACCATTGATTGCCTCTATAAAATTTTTATTCCAGCTTTGAGTCCCAATAAAATTTTTCAGTATTGAATATAATTTCTCTACATTCTTATAATTTCTGACGCGGAGGCATTCTTAGTTTGTAAATCAAAAGCGGATTTATGACGAGGGCCGGCGAAAAATTGTAAAAGGATGGGTTGGGGGCAAAGAGACCGATTTTTTTTCGAATGATTCGGAATAACCATAGGTTTCAACGAGAATTATCTTGAAGCCCTATTTATTTTTCAGGAAGACACCGTCAAATATGAATTTGTAATATTTAAAATTTTATCAAGATTTAGTTTTAGTGAACCATCCAAACTTATATTTTGTTGTTGTAATTTTAACTCCATTTCAAATATATGATCTTTAAGTAAAATCACAAAGGTCTCCGTATATTGTTGTAAAAAAATTGGATTTACATTCTCAAGGTGTTTTCTGAAGAGATGTTTTTAAGTCTCCTGGCCAAGAAGATGTTTTTAGGTATCCTTGCCCTGAACGACTTGATTTAGTTACTTCCGACAAAATTTTAACCTTAAAACAATAGAGTTTCAAGTTGCGATAGACTCTTTCGTAGCGTTAGATGAGTGAAAAGTGCTGCCGTCTGATTATTCTGATACGTACATTTATTTATTAAACCAATAATTGGTTTTCCAACAATCAATAATTTTTATGGTATCAAAAATAAACTTACAATAACAAATTACCTAAAACAGTACGTACGAACTACTGAACTACATTACATTATAATACTACATTAAATTCTACATTATAATACTACATTGTAATACTACATTATAATACTACATTGTAATACTACATTATAATACTACATTGTAATACTACATTATAATACTACATTATAATACTACATTGTAATACTACATTATAATACTACATTGTAATACTACATTATACTTATCATAAGGTACCATCTTCCAACAAAAGGTTGGCTACTATGACCCTCCAACTATCCCTATCCTCAGAATATCGTTTAGCTCTTCCAATGCTCTCACACCCGCTCCATTCCTTGACATGGTCTCCCTATGTTCTTCTTTGTCTTCCCCTGTCTCTTTTTCCGTCAATCATATCTTCCAAAACAAGCCTTGCCAAGAACCCGGACGATCCCCTCATAATGTGACCAGCAAATTTCGTTTTCTTTTTATCATTTCGTTGACTAAAACTCTCTGATGTCCAATTGTTTCCAACACTTTTTCTTTGGTTACTCTTTCAGTCCAGCTTATTTTCAGAATTCTCCTATAGCACCACATTTCAAAAGGATGAAGTTTTTCTTTTATTTCTTTGCTGTATGTCCACGCTTCGCTTCCATACCCTACTACTGAGAAGATGTAGGTTTCAAGTCCCCTTAATTTCACATTAAGGTTGATATTGCTTCTAAAAAATTCCTTAAATTTCTAAAAATTACTTTTTGCTTTTCCTATTTCTCTTTTGACTTCTTCCTCGCATTTTTCAATATTTACTATCTAACCACCTAGATATTTATATTCTTTTACTTGTTCTAGCTCGATGTTTTCTACTTTAATTTCACATTTAATTTGTTCCTTCTTGTCTATTACCATTACATTATACTACTACATTAAAATACTATATACACAGTAAAACACAACATGTACATATACAATAAATGCAAAAAGCCTGTTTCTCATTGGATGCCATTGGTAGATACGTAAAAGTGGTTGATTTCGCCCTTCCCCTGCTATTTCGCCATGACAAATTTTCGGTCCCCTACAGTATTTTCTTGCAATCCCTCATGAACACAGAGGTGTAAACTAGTGGTTTGTTTTGTAGATTCGATTCTGCTGCCAGCTCTTCTGAATCGGAAGGATCAGACGACGAAGAAAAACCAAAGAAGAAAAAGAAAGAAGTGAAGAGAAAGCCGGAGAAAAGGGAAAAAGAACCTGCAGCAAAGAAGCCAAGAAAGGTAATCTAAACCTAATTTGTGCATCCTATTGCTTGTTTCAGCGCATGTTTTCGTAATCGCTTGCCATGATTTTTCAGAAGTCGTTTTGTGCGCATGTTAAATAACTGTCCGTTAACTTCTAGTTTTGATTTACACTATATCGTAGCTTAATATAGTGTCATTCAGAAGCCAGGACTTTAAGCAAGACCAGGTTTGAGAAGATTCAAGGCACGTCAATTGAATGTTTACGTCAACAATACGCTCTTTGCCACATCCATAGCTGAGAAATCATTGAGAATCAATCGTTGCTGATGTAACAATAACCTATTGTATAATGGAACCACTAGGAAATTAGATGACCTCCGAAATTTATCTGAACGTAGTGCCTGGATCCATATCTTTTCAGCATTGATTTCCGAACAGCATAGCCCATGTTTCTTTGTCTCTGGCGAATGCTCTGTAAGGTTTTAAAAGAATCAGCAAATGAGGTCACAGTTACGTTGTTAAGTTAAACAAAGATTATGCTTTTAAGTAGATCGATATCGCGAGATGCTTGCAAACAGAATTTAGATTAATCATAATAAAATAGCTTCAATTCTGGCAAACAGAGCCAGTTTTTAAGCATGCATTAAAGGAATCGATTTTATCGCTGTGTTGTTTGGCAAAATGAATATTAAATTAACCGAATGTGTACTAGCTTTTAAGCTAGTTTACCTACACTCAAATGTGTTTTTAAATGCCGATATGAAAGAAACACGAGCACTGTGTCCGACTGATGGATGAGTGCCCTGTCTCGCTACACATGTTTTATGCCGGCATCTTTAGCTCTCGACCATGCCAATGATTATTCGGATAACTGGTTTGGCTGTTCATCTTTTAGTATACTTGCACGCGCCGCAAAGCACTTATCAAGTCCTTACAAGATTCTTCTATATAATAATTGTTATAAATTTAATATTTGCTTCTTAAACCTGGACCATTCCACGCGAGGCGCTAGCCTCAACTAGCGCACATCGTATAGAGCACCTTCTTTTGGTCAACATGAAATCATAGACAAACAACTCTTCGCACCTGTAACGAAGCATGCGGGAACCAAAACAAATACAGACGATGATCCAGTTTTTCTTCTTAATTGATATCCAACTACTGAAATTATAACGTCTACTGCTTCATATGAAACCTTTATATCCATTTGAACTCTCTTTTTATCTCTTTTGCTTTCTAATCACAGCAACAATACTTCGTCTTTTCCAGTCCCTCAAAACACACGTTCTCACTCGCCGCGATCTCATTATCTGGCTATAAACTTAAAAGCTCTTGCGGAACCGGCATGCTTTGCAACTTTATTTTCAAAACCGGCCTAATATCGTACTGCGTGAATAAACAGAGCACAATCAATTTCACAAGCAGCTGCCGCTAGGCAGTGTTTTAGGAGGATAGTAACCAAACATCTAAAGTAAGGGATGTGAATAGCAGAATAAACTTTTCCCATAAACACAATAATAATAAGGTTGATCTGACTGGGGATGTTTTTCACCAAATAAGAAAACTTAGAAATGAACACCCAAAAAATGTTATTGTCAGCTATTTCAACATAAATTTGACCAGGAACAAATTTGGAATCTTCACTAGCCTTATCCAAGATAATGTTGATGTGCTAGTTATCGCAACGAACCAAACTGGACGATTCATTTCCTACGTCACAGTTTGGGATACCAGGCTTTAAGAAACCTTATCGCTTTGATATTTCTGCAGATGCTGGTGGCCTCCTAGTCTATGTTAGAGACCATCTAATTTCAAGAGAGCTAAAAGGGCCTAAATTGCCAAATGATATACACGTTCTACCTATTGAACTCAATCTATGGAAAACTAAACCTGCTACCCTCATACAGCCCCCGCATTGCAACGAAAAGTATTTTTTAGATAATATGGAAAGGCTGATTGATTTTCATTCCGGTTCTGCCAAGAATGTCCTTGTGTTTGGTGACATAAACATGGAGGTAACACATATAGATCTGAAATCATTTACTGACCAACAAGAACTGTATAGTCAGTCTTATAAGAACGCCTACCTGTTTCAAAGGCAGGACTGCGAGATGTATTGATCTAATGCTAACTAACCGGAAGCATAGCTTCATGCTAAGCCAGTCCTTTGAAACAGGGTTTAGCGATTTTCATCACATGATCTATACAGTTCCTAAAAAACAACGTATAATAGAATTCCACTAGTTATGAAATGCTTAGGGATTGACTGGGCGTGAAAATCTTAGCCTTTCGGGGACCTATAAAAGTTATGAAATATAGGAGCTATAAGAAATTCTCAAAGCCAGAACTCCTTGGCGATGTAACGACTACTTTATCAGCCATAAACCCAAGAACATATGATGAATTTGAAAATGTAATCAAACAAGCTCTTGATAAACATGCTTCTATGAAGACTGCAATCCATAAGGAGAATAATAATCCACATGTCCACAAAGAAATAAGGAAGGCTATAATGAAAAGATCGCGACTAAAAAATATTGCAAAAGCCCAGGATGATTTTCATAGCTATAAGAAACAACGGAACCTTGTGGCTAAGATGAATAAAAGGGCAAAAGACAATTTTATGCTAATCTAGACCCAAATGTAGTAGGCAAAGATAAATATTTCTAGAAAACGTTTAAATCCTACTTCTCAGAACAATCAAACCCTAATGAGAAATTACTTCTTGTCGAAGACAATGTTATCATATTAGATGACAAAGAAATAAGAAATTGTTTCAATTCCTACTTTGTTGATATTACTGGTACCTTATGTCTTAATGAGCTTGAGTCCATTGATGAGTTGACCATCTAATGACCCGATATTGAATGCAGTGATCAAATACAAGAACCATCCCAGTATTACTAAAATAAAGAATAGCATTAAGGCTGGAGAAATGTTTGGTTTCCAACCTGTTAGCTTGTTTGAGGTCCGGAATGAAATTGACCAGCTAAATCGGTCAAAAAAGACTAGTGGGAACAATCTACAGATATAGTTAAGTCTTTTGCTGATAACTGCTTCGAACATCTAACATTTTATGTAAATCAGATGTTCGCAAACAGCAAATTCCCCGATAAATTTAAACTGGCTGACGTATCACCAACCTTTAAATGCGGAGATTCTACCCTCAAAAAGAATTTTAGGCTAAAAAGTGTGCTAACAGCGATATCCAAAATATTTGAACGCTTGATATCTAAACAAATCGGCCCATTTGCTTACAGGCTCCTTTCTAGCTTACTATGCGCTTTTAGAGAAGGACACGGTGCAGAACATGTCCTTTTCAGGGTGACAGAAATATGTCGCAAGTCCATGGCTGATGGGATGATTGTGGGGATGGTACTTATGGACCTTTCAAAGCCTTATGACTGCATTCCGCATGACCTACTAATAGCTATTCTGGCGGCCTATGGATTTAACCAGCATAGCCTATTATTAATCCACAGCTACCTTTCAAATAGAAAACAGCGCGTGAAAGTGAGATCCGAGTTTAGCGACTGGCTAGAAATCAAAGCAGGGGTTCCTCAAGGGTCAGTTCTTGGACCGCTATTCTTCAATTTTTTTTATTAATGATCTACTTTTTGAAGTGAAAGAATCGGAAATTTGCAATTTTGCAGACGATACTACAATATTTAAAGATGGGGAAAATATCGAAAGTGAGCCTTGAGAAAGACCTGTCTAACACACTAAACTGGTTCAAAGTTAATCATATGGCAGCTAATCCTAGAAAATTTCAGGTTATATCTTTGGGGATGAGAGAGCAACCTAAGCTCATCCTCGAGATTAATGATATAACGATCCCCCTCACGGACAAAGTTTAATTGCTGGGAGTCACAATAGAGACTCTCAGTTAAAATTTGATGATAATATAAAGGCACTCTGTCGGACAACGAACAGAAAAGTCAGTGCTTTCTCACGTGTGGCCCCTCGTCTGAACTATGAAAAGAGTAAGATCCTATATAATACATTTATAATGTCAAATTTTAATTATTGCCCCCTGATTTGGATGTATCACGGAAAAACTTCAAGTATTCGGGTAGATCGAATCCAAAAAAGGGCACTACGAATTTTGCATAATGACTTCAATATGCCTTTTAAAGAACTCCTTGAAAAAATGGACAAACGAAAAGTCCACACAAAGAATTTGCAAAAATTAATGCTCCAAATATTTAAGTGTCTATCAGAAAAAAACCTACCATTCAAGTGGAAATTCTTCGAGAAAAAAACATAAAATATGAATTACGAACAAAATATTTATTGCAAATACCGAATATAAAAGCAAATACATTTGGAGCTAATTATCTTATATCTAGAGGTGCTCTCCTTTGGAACATTTGGAGCTTATTATCTTATATCTAGAGGTGTTACCCGATGCCATAAAAAATGCTAGCTCGACCGCAATATTTAAAAGAAAGATCGAACAATGGAATGGGGACAAATGTAACTGTCAAATATGCAAATAACTAAAATGCGGGTATGGTCAGATCCTTAAAAAGTTGATTAAAACATTTTTTCTCTCTTCTGATTATGTTTTAATTTTGTAATTTTGTAGAAATGTAAATAGTTGGTATGAATTAGCTTTTTAAGCTATGTATGGCATCAACTGTAAATAATTTTATAAAAATAATAATAATAATAAACCTGGATCTAAACGAAATTTTTTTCAATACAGGAAACAAAGTCTGGGAAGAAGAAGAAGGATCCAAACGCCCCGAAGAAGCCAATGTCTGGCTACATGATCTGGTTAAACGAAAATCGAGAGAATATCAAAAAAGAATATCCTGGAATCTCTATCACCGATCTTTCAAAGAAGGCAGGAGAGAAGTGGAAAGAGCTTGGCGATAAAACAGTAAGATGTTATTGTGACTTTATTTTTAAAAAAGATGCAGTTTGCTCGATTTGACTGAGGTTTCAAGAAGAAGTACTTGGAAAACTCCCTGTGCAATTATTCTGGATCGTTACTAAAGATTTCCCTACTTTAGCGAAGCTGTACAATATTCTAAAAGTTTTTGGCCGCCCTAAATCGTCACTGAGTTGATGTTCATTGCTCGTTTTCAGGAATGGGATGAAAAAGCTAAGAAGGCGAAAGAAAAGTACCAAAAGGATTTGGCAGCTTACAACGCTCAGAAAAAAGAAGACGGTGGAACACCAAAAAAATCAAAAACTATTTCTGATTCTTTTTCGAAAAAGTCACCGAAGCCACAAAAGCAGTCAACGTCGTCTCCATCTAAGTTTAAAAGTAAAGAGTTTATCGAATCATCGGAAGATGACTCATCTGATGACGAGGTAAGGTTGTTTTTTTTCATGCAAGAATGCTGGGTATCATTGGGAGGACTAATGAAAGCATTATAGTAATTCCTGAGGCCCCAAAGTCCGGGGATGCCCGGATAGGTCCCCCCGAAAGGCTAAGATTTTCACGCCCAGTAAATCCCTAAGCATTTTATTCCGAAAGCCCTCAGTCTTTTTCGTTACCCCACTGCTGTTATTTCTATGAAATGCTCTAAGGAATCAATACTTTCCCAAAAACAAAACACTGTCTGAAGAAATTTATTAAACGTTGAAATAGGAAGTCAATATCTTAAATATTAAATAGAAAGTCAAGAATAAATATTGGAAACTACATTTCTCTGTTCAATAATTCAAACAATACCAGATAGAATGCTAGACAAGCTGTGGGAAAGTCTCCTGACAAACAAGTACTCTTCCATGCTATCGGGATGTCTCAGTTTACGAATTTCTGTTACATTAACCTGTTACCTCACCAGTGAAGGTCATTGTATGTTAACCTTCCACGACCAAAGGGCTGTTAGGTTTAGAGAATTTATTTATAGGGGTAGAGAGAATACCCTAGGGGTAGGGAGAGTAACGAAGTTGATTGCAGGATAATATGAACAATTAAAATACCTGAGAATGTCCGTATGAAACGCTCAATAACGTTGTCTTTCTTTCGTATTTTTTATTTCTTTTCCTGAATACTAATAATTCTCTCCCTCCACCCCAAAACAATAAAAATGTTTAGATACATATCATAAACAAGAAAAGCGTCTTTGCTAGCCTACAACGTCATTTTATGTTATGTAAACATTTTGAATGGTACTGAAGATTGTAGCCTGGTATTGACAGAAGTACCCAGGGTACCAGAGCCACACAATTCGGCTTTTCCATTCCTATCTTGTGTTTCCGCTCGCCAATTTATGTGGCTCTGGTACCCAGGGCATAACAGAAGTATTACGCAGGGGTAAGAAAGATACAATTTATGCATCCATAATGTCACCAATATTTGCCAGCAGTAAATACCAGAATAAATTCAAACGGCATGAACAGAACCACTGTCCGTTAACCTTACAGCAACTGCTCTGATGAAGCCCCGTATGCCGGGGCGAAATATTAGCCTTCACTGATTTACGTGTATTTATTGTTGTTTATTCTCGGCGTATTGCGGTGTTTCTTATTTGCTACAATAAATTCAATGTTGCAAAATGGTTGATGTTGTTGATGATTTCTTTTCTAGGGCTCCAAGAAGAAGAAAACTCCGTCCAAGTCAAAGGAAGATGATTCTGAAGACGAGGAGTCCGAGGCAGAGATGACTGATGACGGGTCCGAAGGTTCAGACTCCGACTAGATTCATGCTGCTCACGAAACTATGTCATATCCAGCTGCATAGCCGCTGTATACATCTAGTAAGGTACTTTGTATTGTACACGACGTAGTAAATCCGTTCAGTTAGGAATATTCCACTGATGGATGTTGATAATATGCTTGTGATGCACGGGCCTGTTGAATGAACGCATTTGGACGCGTTTATCAAAACATCGTACGAGCTGCATCACTAAAAACTATGAAGACTTGCTTTTGTTTGTAAATTATGTTCGTAAAACCCACTAGCAGTTTCCTATTCTGTTTCTCTAATTGTGAACTGTTTTGTTACTGTATGCCTTCGCTGGCAAAGATATCTGTGAACATGTTTGAATTTCGACTGGACGTCTCTGGTAACATGACTTTCATTACGTAAATAATACCTTTTCCAAGTGTAATATCAGTTAGTACTTGGTTTACAAATACCAGTTCACGTTACAAATCGCCCCGTACTTCTTCTATCTATGCCAAATATTTTGTGTTGGGGATACCATACTATGATTGCAAATATTATTGTACAACTTTTTGTTATCACTTTAAGATTTGCTACCACACTTCAAGTCCAGATTCAAGTTTCATATTGTTTGTGCTTTTCACAGTTAAAAGCGTGACAAAAATTTTGCATATGATCAGTGAACCTTATAGCTCACAAACATAATGAGAATAAAATTTGAAACCTTGATTCGAATCTGAAGTTAAGAATTTGATGCCAAAGGTTTGAATCATTTTCAGAACAAGGTCATAAATTCAATCGACTCATTATTCTGCACGAGGCTTAAAATTTCTTCATTCGCGATCTTTATCTTCGAACAATGCACCTCTCTCTTCCCCTCGGTTGCTGCAATGACTTTTAACTGCGCAACAACGCTTCCTTTCTACCAAAAAAACCTCCAAATGTTTGTAAGTTGTGCGATTATTCAAATGAAGCACAGTAGAAAAGGTTTTCTCGCCGCTTGTCAATCGTTGCTATACCCCTGTTATTGTTAGCTTTCCAGTCTAATAGGATTTGAGCAACAGTGAACTTTCTAAGTACTCTTCAACCGCCATTCTGCTTATAGACCTATACATTACACGAACGCGCATATAACTCCCACTTGTAAGATTGACTGCCTCATATTAAAGCGCAAAGAGGTTCATCTATCTGGACATTTTTTCTCTCTTACCTTACTGCAAGAAGAAAAAGCAGTTCATATGCCAGGCAGGCTAGATTAAGATAATTTACACATCCCTATCGTTTGTGCCACAAGTTACCTATCTTGCTCCACTGCTGTTTGGCGTATACATCAGTGGCATATCAGTAACCATTGGTTACAGACAAATTACTAAGTAATTAGATTGTTTCGAGTTTATTTGGTAATTTAGGCAAAGTTTCTAATTGGGACTTTCTTAACTGTTAATAGCTTTTGGAAGGTACAACAAACACGCAGACTGGACAAAATAGCGATAATATTGGGCAAGCGATGTTCTCAGTATGAATGAAGTATGATGAATAATGACTAAGATATATTTGTAAAGTGCTCAGCCCCACCCAATTAGAACAATATTATTTCGGTTTCGTTGAGCAAAAAATGTTTTTTCTCATTTTAAAAAACAGAGATTGATTTTTTAAAAGAAAGATAGCTTTTGTGCATTTATTTTTTAGACTAGAAAGATAGCCTTTGTATATTTTTTATCTTTACTGACAAGAACCAATCCAATTCAGTTTGACCCCTCCTTTTCCGCAAATATCCATAACACTTGGGCATAAAAACCTTAAGCCAAACTGCCTGCCAATTTTGCTAACCTCAGTCACACTATTTTGCTAGGGTCACAAAGATCAACGGGAAAACCTACTTTAGATTGTGATAAATGTTATCCTTTCGTTGTGGTGAGGTTATACCGAGCATCGGATTTGATTTTTCAGCAGCTGAAATGATAAAAGAACAAAATTTAACCAAAGATCTTTGACATTAGCGAAAATGAAACTAACACAGCCACATTTAAATCCACCTGCTCACGTTCACTAACCAGTACGTAGAATTAGGCTTAGTCCTAAAAAATCTTCATAAATAGGCTTCCTTCTTTCAGTGATGGCATTTTGGGACTCTTTTCTGTTTCAGTATATTGTCGAACGATTCTTCTCTGTTCAGCGAGGATATCCTTCTAGTATGTTTTACACTTTCTATCCTGCTTGTAAAAGTTTGTTGAGCGTGTCATCTCGAATTAGCTCCTCAACCCCCTGTTTACAGTACTGTCAATAATCAGATTGCAATGTTCCTTACATGACAAGCCTCAACTCAACGTAAAGACACATTCGAAGCTGTTGATATATGGTTGTGACCTTAAGTACGGTGATGTAGAGTCACATACATAGATAAAGCCAACGATAAAGAGTCTTCTAATGTGCTTTTCGCCGGGGAGCTTACTCTCTTCCTATCCAATTATGGAGTTTTTTAATTTGCCACTTTGTAAATATTGAAACGTCCAAATCCTAAAGACAGTAAATATTTTGAACTTTATAATTTTCTTGGATCAAAATAAATCCTACTATCTAAAACTAAAATTAAACTGAAACTCAAGCTAAAACTAAAACTCAAACCAAAGCTGCAGAAATTAGTAAATATATTTCCGCAAAGTTTAGAAGTGTTTGCTTTCACAATTTGGCAGAAAAGAAATGGCCTTCAAAAAGGAAGGAACATGGCCATATCGAAAGTGCTTCGGGCTATAATTGATAACAGTGTTTATATTTTAATTACTGCCTTTGTCTAAATCTGAGGTAGGAAGACAGCCGCCAGATTGGCTTTAGTTGTTTCTAGAACATTTAAGGGTTTTTATGATTGCTTCGAACAGTGATTGTTAGGAGATTTTAATACTTAATAGGTAAAATTTCAATACGATGTAGAAAATGTTCATAAAAAAATCAATGGCCTAACGTTTTAGTTCCTGCTGTTTTTAAGTCAATATCACTAGGTATTATAAAAATCCTGATAACTTCTATTTCTTAGAGTTAGTGTGCAAAATATTCAATTGGTGGAATAGTTAAAGTATTCCAAAGTAAAAGTATGTCGTTTTAGGTCGAATTTTTGTCTTGAAAAGAAGAAAAATGGCATGCTGCTCGCTTTTTAAAAACTTATTACCGTCAAAGGTATAGCGTCGATGCAATGCTAAAGCATTTGAACCAGGCAACATAGGAATCCAGTTCTCAAATCAAAATACATCCACAAAAGGTTTACCAATCAAGATGCCGTAAGACCGTTTCACTTTTTTGAAGCTAGCAATTTACCAAACATCCAGTTCAATAAAACTTCATCGAATTTACTCGTGTCGACACCGTCAAGTTTTCATTTTTCATTCTGTTGTGCCACTTTTGAATAGTTCATCAGCTATTGTAGTTAAACGAAAGGTACATTCTTGAGCTGACACAAAACAGTGCTGTCAGCAAATTGGTGTTGTTGTTGTTGTGTTTTGCGTGGACTTTTGTATCGACGTTTGAGTCGTGAAATGAAAATTTTGATTTTGATGGTGGACATTCAAAGGTAGCTTTATATACTGAGCTTTCAATTTAGAAAGTAGTTTCAAATTCAAAACATCATCGATGCCAGTTGTGTCTGATATCCCATATATTTAGTATGTTTAAGGGAAGACTCTGAAGGTCGTGAAATAGTTTGTGCAAATCGTAACATTTATGCAATTTCACTACAATTCATGAAAGTTAACTCATTAAAGTGAAACCAAAATGAAAAATCAGTTTATAGCATAGGGGAAGCTGCTATATAACACAAGTTAAATTATCTACTCGCCCCCTTTCATTTCTCTCCGTTTATTTGAAGTCATCATCCACCTTAATGCAAGACTTTTGAACAAAGCCTCTTGTCGAGTTTAATACATGGTTTATGAACCACATTATGATTTTTGACAAAACATGCAGCGATAATGATACATAAATTTTCATGCTTTGGATTCAACGTATCCAAAAAGTTTGTTTCGAAATTTTACTCGCCTCCATTGTCAAAAAATATTTGTTCTTGGAAAAGACAAAAAAGCAACAGAATTCTTTAAATGTGGGAATATTTAAAAAACTGTATGTTTTAAAAGAAAGTCAGTATGAAAACTGACCCACCTATAGCAAAAATCAACTTTTCCCCTCTCTAGGCTACTGTGTATGATAATATGAATTTAGTTCTATCTCTCTGTTCTGACGCATTTTTGACCACAAACGTAAACTTTCAAAGGCGATTTCAACCACCCCTTCCCCCTTTTTGAACAATGTTGATTTGATAGAAAACACAGGAAAATAGCGAGTATGTTTTTTTTTCGTGTAACTTGTTTGATATTTGTCTATACTATCATAATTGTTTTGGGCAGAAGGGACTGAAGGAAGTAATATTTGAGAAAAGAATTGAAAAGTATAAAAATACAACGCAATTCGTAGGAAGTTCCAAGTAATCGCAGTAAGCATTGCACATTAAGTACCAACAATTTCGGTGGGATTTATTTTCGGTAAAGCCTTATCTCGATTTCAACCGATATACTTTAATTAAAAACAACACAACAAATTTAAAACCTTGATATGTTTTAGTATTA